CCAACCGCTGGCCGGTAGCGTCATCTTTCGGCCATGCTTCGGCATCCTCGGGATCGGTAGGCCACGTCGGGAGCACATCCGGTGTCAAACGGCCAATGCCCATGAGCAGCTGAAACACTGTTCGAATCAAGTGCTGTGGAAAGTAAGTGCCGAGCGTCTCTCGGGTTTCGTTGCACTCACCCGCAAGCTCGGGTCCTGTGTAGCTAGGTAGCTTCGCTCGAGGCGGTCTAGGCGCTCCTGCGACTGCTCCTCCCCTTCCTCGTCAGTCTCGCTTGCATCACCGCTGCCAAATGTCGTGGTGAACTGGTCTTCGAGCGCTTTCATACGGGTTTCCAAGTCTTCGAGGCGTATCTGGAGCGCTTCATTCGTCTCTTCAAGCTCCTCGATTCTGGCTTTGTGACGTGCTACGGCTTTGATGGTCTTGTCTAGCTGCGCTTTTACCCCATCTGCGGTCTGTTCTGTCTCGGCAAGGCTTTCTTCCAGTGCTGTTATCTTGGCGATCATGGCCCTGTTTGTGGCCACTTTCGCCTGTGGTTCATCCTCGGCGGGCATGTTCTAACCGATGAGCTATGAGGCTGGATGAACCGGGGGCGTTCAGAACCTCAAGTGACTGTCTAAGCACGATTTCTCTCCATTAACTGCTGTCTAGTACATGTGATGGACCTGCTGTAGAGTAGTAAAGAATATCTGCCTAATATCGAAGTCCTCTGCACCTCTTTACGAGTCTCCATTACCAATTCAGACCAGTGAGGATCCGAGCAAGAATAGAATCGGCAGGAGCACGAGGGACGTGCTCTGTCAGCCTCCGGGATAATGTGTGGGTATTGTAGGGATAATCTATTGCATATTCTAAGGACAATGCGTGGGGAACGTTCCAATACACCTACATTATCCTCGAGGAGCATTGGGAGGGCATTGCTGGTGTATTCTACGCATATTGTCTCATTTTCCCTGGAATACGCGCGGTGCACATTTTAGCATTTTGTGCGGTGCTTGTTAACCATGGGTTAGCGCAGGATGCTTTTGATCAGCCACAAGTTCCGACCTTGCATTAGTTACCTTATTAGGCAGTCCAATATTTCTCTCCTCCCGCCACCATGGACGTCTCCGAAATCCTAGCCTCCCATGAAGCCCGACAGTATGTTCGGATTCTTGCCTAGTTGAATGCTTCCCTAACAAAGTATATGTAGAAAGCTGAACGTTGTCGAGAAGGAAATTCCTCTCGTAATTGATGCAGGTTACCTCACCGTGACCGACCTGAACCCAGTAGACAAGGAAAGCTACGAGTAAGCCAGCCCATCCCCTTCCCATTCCCTAATTAAAACGTATCCAGAGAAGACACGGAAGCCTACCTCTTAGCCACTGCGCGTGACGGCGTCCAGGCCCTCTTCTCGACGCTCTCCGCCCTCCCCACCGTACCCTCGCCTTACGGGCCTCTCACGCAGCTGCCCCCACCGACGACCGAGCTTCCACGCGCGAAGCCGTTGCCCAAGCCAAAACCCCCGACGAAGTGGGAGCAGTTCGCGAAGGCGAAGGGCATCCAGAAGAAGCGCAAGGACCGCAAGGTGTGGGACGAGGAGAAGCAGGAATGGGTTAATCGCTGGGGATGGGGCGGTAAGAATAAGGAGGGCGAGGGGGCGTGGCTCTCGGAGGTTAAACAGGGGGCCGGTGCGTTCTCAAACTTCTGTCTTTTGTATTCGAGGTTCTGACACCCTGCCCTCTTTACAGAGGTAGACCACGACCCTGCCCAAGAACTCCGCAACTCGCGCAAAGCGCGGGTAGCCAAGAATGAGCGGCAGCAACTCCAAAATCTAGCCCGGGCCCAGGGCTCGTCATCGCAAGCGCCCGAACGTGAAGAACGTAAAAAGGATATCGACCGCACCCTGGCCACTACGCGCATTAGCACGGCCAGCATGGGACGGTTCGATAGGCAGCTGGAAGGCGAGAAGAAGTTAAAAGGCGTCAAGCGGAAATTCGAGCCGAACGAACGGTCCATTGAGGAAGAGAAGAAGAACTCGCTGGCTATCATCTCCAAGTTAGAGAACGAATCCAAACGAGCAAAGAAGGAGAAGTCGGGCGGAGACGAGGTGCTCAACGTTCGCAAGGCAATCAGGAGCGCGAGCGGCGGGAAGGGGAGCGCCGCCCTGACGAGGAATTCATCAAAACCGAAAGGCAAGAAAGGAAAACGGTAGTCTCTCGGCGCCTTCGCCTGGCCTTGTTACTTCATCGCGGTCTCCTTGCACCACTTCTGCTGTTCGTGTTCAAAACACTGTCATTGCTGGATGCATAGGTGTAGGTACATGCTAAATACAATACATGTATGCATTGAGAAGTCGGCTGCGCCCGAAAGTCCTCAGTCAGCCGGCAACCTATTTAAGTCTGCCTTGCCCTCCTCAATCCACTCCTTCTTGACCAGCTGTTCCCGATCATTATAATATAGCCTGTACACCAGCTTGATCGTACTCTCGCTGACACCCGCCACCCCAACGATGTCCTTGATGGGCTTCTGTAGGCCGAGCAGGTGAACAGCAAAATAGATCGCCCCTCCTGCAATGGACACGGGACTACGGCCGACGGCAATACCGCGGTCGCGCGCGACCTGAATGATATCCTTGCATATGCCCTGGACATTGGGCGGGAGTGCAAGGTGATTGCAGTATCGGATAAGGAGGTCTTCGGGGTTGGTGGTAGTCGTACCAGGCCCCGCCTGCCCGTGCTTATTCGCGGACGCGCCCGGGGTGAGGTTGAATGCCTGTTCGAGTGCCTTATAGCACTGGCCGAGCACCTTCTTCGAGACCTTCGTAAGGTTGCAGATTTCACGGAACGTCCGTGGGACGTGGGCACGCCGGCAAGCAATAAAGATGCATGCTGCAATGACAGCATCGAGAGGCTTGCCCCGCAAAAGCTTCTCTTCATCTGTGCGCTTATAGAGCTGCTTCGCGATATCGGAGATGGTTTTTGGGAGGGAGAACTGGTCGCACCACGAGGCAATGTCGCGGAAAGCTGTGACGAGATTGCGCTCGGAACGCGAGTGTTGAGAACGAGAGGCGGCACGCTGAAGCTCCTTTGCAATGCCAGAGCCGCCATCGCGAAAAGATATCATGGTGTCGAGCTGTTCCATACCCTCCATGAGAGGGTCGGAAGCCGCACCGACACGGGAGGGGTCGTCGCCTTCGTCATTCGCGAACGTCTGCATGCGCAGTATAAACTCACGCAGTGACTGCACGAGCGCTGAGAAAAACTTACGCGCCATTCACTCCTCGTGTCCACGATCCTGTCACCCAAGACGAGACCGCAAGTGCCACAAACAAGGTCTCCACTGGCAAACTCCTCAATGATATTTGGATTTGGATCCTTGCACTCTGGACAGATCAACCGCACTGCGAGGTCAGGACCGAAAGCAGGTTGTGCGGGTTGGGGTGGCGCATGTGTGGCCGCAAGGGGGAAAGGTTGAGAATAAGACATATTAGGTGAGTCTTGTTAAGACGACGAGTGATCTAGGCTAAGAAAATAGGATATATGCGTGCTGGACAAGTGAATGACCAGTACTGGTATTGACGCTGTTGGCTGCAAGGGATATAGGCATGGTCAATGAAAACTATGCCGTGGCTTGCACCTACCGATGGCCACAAAACTAAGCAAATAGCAGTAATCTATCAATTGCCAAGGCAGCTAGCGAGTTTCAAGACCGGCAGGAGCGACGACAACGACGATAAAGAAGCGTGGGCGGCGTCTGCGATGGTGGTCGGAGGAAACCAGTCGACGGTGGCTGTGGTCGTCCGTCTGAGTCCTTTGTGTGGGTCATGACTAAGCGAGGCGTAGCGCTGTTGCTGCACCGCCACTGCGCACTAAATTCTCCCAAGTTCCAGACTGCAGTTTCGTCGCTCACAAGTTCGTAGCTTTCCGTAAGGCAGAGCCAAAATTACATTGTGCTGTAGTAAAGGCAGAAGAAACCATTGCAGGCAAGACACGAATAAACCAAGGCGTACACGAGAGCCAACAGCATAAAGCATAACATGACTACTACCACTAGCTAGCTTCTTACAGTCCGCCGAGAAGGGAGGGAGACCAAGTACGAAAGGCATATATAATGTATGTCTGTATGTGATGATATGGGATGGATGATTTGCATTGGATCTTGAGGTGTGAATATGCACGAGAGACAAGAATGCTGGGTCAAAGAAAAGGGAAAGGAGAAACAATGCGGGGGAAAGAGAAAGGCGATTAATAATAAACAGCTTGCTGAGGAGGGGGAGCCTCGACCGGGTACATCTCGTATTGCGGCATGTGCGACACGTCCATGTACTGCGGATAACCGTACTGTTCCGGATAATAGTACGGTTGCTGGTATGGGTTGTACAACATCATGCCAGGTTCCAGCTGATACGCCTGAGGATGGCCGTCACCATTGACACGGGCCTCACTCTCGCCAGAACGCTGAGCCTCGTCACTTTCCTTGGGCTGCTCGGATGATTCCTCCGTCGCCGCAGAGTCCGGTCCGACAACAGTGCTCCTCAGAGTCGACGGACGATGGGCGTGTCCCGCTTTCCGATCCGCGTGCTCTGTTGGAGCACGAATCTCGACACGACTGCTCTGACGGGGTAACGTGAACAACGGTTGCCCCGTCACAGGGTCGATGAAGCCATTAAAGGACGGTGATGGCGAATGCGAGTAGAAGTCAGGTGAGGACATGGAGTGGTGAGGTGTATGGCCAGGCACGAAGGGTGGCATGGGTGGCGAGACAATATGCGCATGCATGACGGGGCGAGGGTTGTACATGGGAGGAGGGGGTGTCGCTTGGAGGTACACAGGTCGGCCTGTCGCAACTTCGTAGGTCATACCATTGTGCGCCATCGCGATGCCTGGTGGCAGAGCCTGAGGATAAGCGTACGGTGAGCCAAAAGTGGGTGACGCGGGATTGACTGGTGAGAAGTTTGTCTGAAGGGGAGGTAGAACGGGAGGGGCAGGGCGTGGTCCTGCGATCGACGGTTCGGTTGGTGCAGATGCAGATGCCTCTTCAGCTGGACCTTGCGCAGAGACGTTGGCTGTAGGCACTGGGGTGGTCGATTTGCTGCTCTGAGCCGTTTGCTGAGAACGGACTTGTTCAGGGAAGGCCTGAAGTGGCTGCGAGGGAGTGAATGGAGGGGCCGCCGCAGCTTGCTCTGGCAGTTTGGACGACCCTGCCTGCGCGTGCACAAAAGCAATGGACTCCTCAACAACAACTGCTGCAGGGGTGGATGCCTCCGTAGACAATTCCGACGGTTGCTCGACCACCGTGACGGTCGACTTTACGGTCACGGTCTCTACTACCTCTGCGGCCTTCTCCTTCCCTGCTCGTTTGGGTAGACGGACCATGATAACCTTGTCGTCGTCGTCCAGACCAGGCGTAGAAAGCGAACGTGGCGCCACATTCTTGGGAGATACATAGGGACGCGGTGGCCCTCTGATGACAGTGCCTCCTCGCCTCTTCTCGCCCGGGAGTTTCACGCGATAGCCTGGACCAAACCCAGCCTGCGGTTTGAGAGAGCGGTCCTCGAAGTGGAGGAAGGCTTCGTGCCTCTTCGTGAACGGCGGCTCGGGTTTCATCGCGAATCGCGGACGGTCTGAGAAGGGAGCTGCAGGGAAACGCGTCCGTGCTGGTGAAGGCGCGAAGCTACCGCGGAAAAACCCGCCGCGGCCACGCCCTGCCACAAAGCCACCGCGCCCTCTGAACGGGCCGAAACCGCGTTGCGCTGGCTGCTGCTGCTGTTGCAGCTGACGCTGTTGTTCCTCCCGTGCAGCGCGCCGTTGTTCTTCGCGGCGCTTCATCTCCTCGAACCCGTCGTGAGTCCAAGGACGCTCTACCGGGGGCAACTGCGACTCGTCCCGCACCGCCTCTCCTTCCTTCTCTCCTTCCACACCTGACGGCCGTCCACCTTGGAATCCGCCACGGCCACGACCTCGCATGGAGAAGCCACCCCGCCCGCGCCCACGACCCTGCCACCGACCTCTCCACCAGCCACTCAGGCTACGAAGCTCCTTGTCCAAGAGGCGGTCGTCGTGTCCCCAAAATTCACCCACGACAGGTACGTACGACGGGTCAGACTCAAGTCGACGCTGGTACGCCTGACGCGCAGTTTGACCCGCAGGACGTCTCTGGGCGGGCCCTCCGGGCGGGAGACGAGAGGCCTGATTCGATGCATTTTCTTCCGGTTCCGAGGCCTCTTCCGCGGCAGGATGTTCCTCGGGGGGCTGTGGCGAGAGAGGCGGTCCAGTCGAGGGGCCAGGCTCCGTGGATGTCTCGGAGCGAGGTGCAGCAGGTTTCTTGCCACCTTTCTGCAGTTTTTGCTTGCGAGACGGCGGAGGCGACTCGACGGTATGCGTTCCCAGATCAGCAAAGTCGATAACAGGCAGGTCGGCCGGCCCGTTACGATGCTCGTCCGCAACCATCTCCGACCAGTCGACAGAGGCGCTGACGAAGATGCCCCCGTCGCCGTTGGCAGGTTTGGATGAAGGCTCACCATTGATGTGCGGGGTATCGTCCTTGTCCGCAGGGGGAGGACTTTGAGTAGTACTGGGCGTCACGACCGAATACTGCTGCCCGCGAAGCCCATCTTCAGATACGAGCTCGCTCTCCGACTCCGAGTCAGAGCCAAGAGAGGAGTCCGCATCGTCCGTGTCAGACTCGGAAGTGATTTCGCGCTCAATCTCCTCGTCACTGTCAATCAATTCCCTTGCCCGGGCTCTCCTCCTGACCACTCGCGATTTCTTCGGCCGAACCTGATCCTTGGAGACACCATTCGTTGATTGCTGGGAAGAACTAGATGAGGCGGGAGCAACGGAGATCGGCATTGGCGATGACTGAAGGTGTTCGGCAGGGGTCAACAACGTACTTGAGAAAATCAAAGTCGTTGCCGTACTTAGCGTAAATATGAGACTCTGAAACGCGTGGAAGACCTTGAGACGAGGATGTGAACTACAAGCTGTTTTCCAGAAAACAGAGCGACGAGATATACAAGCAAATATTCGCGGGGATTGCGAAAGGCTGCGGAGGGCGTTGGAGACGATGATGGAGGGGTGTGGGCACAGCAAGCAAGACGACACAAAGCAGGCTGTGTGCGGCTCCGTGGCTGGCCAATTCACACTCCGCCCGCGTCTAGTCATTTCAACGCCATCATGCTCAACGACAACGACAACGATAAACACAGCGGTCAACGACTCGCAAACGTCTACAAACGCGCTCTCGACTTCGGTGCCAGCTTCTGGTCTGCTAACCAACGGACGACACCGTCCGTGACAGGCTGCCTTGCCTCGACCATAACCCAATGCCCTTTCCCTTCTAGGGCGACCTCGTGTATTCTTGGATTCCGCGCTTTCTGAGTCAGCAACGCTCTCGAAGTGGGATCCTTGGTGCCCCACATGAACAATACGGGCACGTCTGCAGGAGGGGAACTGGGTAAATTGGCAGCTGCAAAGGAGCGGTGGTCAGATGGATGACTCGCTCAGAAACGGCTCGACCTCGAGGCACGGACACCGACCTTTCTCTTCCTCGAACCGAATTTTGCTGGTTCGGTAATACGAAAGAGGACCGTGCATGTGCCGGAGCTGCTCGAGATAGTACTCCAACTCCTGCCATACTCTCAGCCTCTGGATTAATCGTGTTCTCTTGGGTTCCTACCGCTCACCTTGTCGTCCAAAATGCACTTCGCCTTGAGATCTTCCACCACCTTCTCCCCTCGCAGGATTGGACGCAGCGCTCCCGGCTTGGTAAAGTTGACGCCGCCATTGGGACCTCGGTACATCAGAGGCAACATCGTTCGTAACTGCGTCTCATCAGTTTAGGCATGCCGCCATTCAGCAAGCCTTACTCACGTTGGACTCGATCTCTTTCGTGAACTTGTCATCCGCAAAGTACAGCTGATACCCCAAGTTTGGCGCATGCTCAACTATCCTTTCCAGCGGGACATAGTACGTCGAAGGCGGGGTGAACGGGACTGACAATCTGCACCGCGACCGCCCATTCACTTCCTCGTCCGCCATCACGAAAAAAGAACGTACATCACCAGAGCCAACAGCCTCTCAGGGTGCCACAACGCGAACCGCCCAGACACGAATGCACCCCAATCATGTCCGACCACCACCGCCTTGCCGACCCCGACGACGTTCAACAGCGCGGCCAAGTCGTCCGACAGCCTCTTCGGCGAGTACTCTTCCGGTTCCGCGGGCTTGTCCGTCCCGCCGTATCCCAGCATGTCGGGCACGACCACGCGGTACCCTTGCCTTACCCATGGGCGTATCTGGAATCTCCAGCCGTACCTAATACGAGTCAGGCCCGCAATGTAATAGTAGACTGGCATGGACATACCAGCAGTCCGGGAAGCCGTGTACGCAGAGTAAAGTTGGATTAGCTGCAGGGTCGTAGTGCTCGGGCTTTTGGTCCACGTAGTGGTACCTCCGACCTGTGGAAAGCAGCGCATACTTGTGCTCGAAACTGGCCGGGTCCGAGGGATCCATGCTTTACCTACTAGTTCTACTGTAATGTAGAGAACGAAGGCGGAAAGACGCCTGACGCACACATCCTCACTTTATATACGCCAGTTCCCGGTGCCGTGACCGGTGAAGAAATCACAGACTTCCGAGGATGTCGGTGTACAATGGACTAGATGAGAGCATAAAATACACAGTAAAAGATCCACCCCTCCGAGCATTATGCAAACATATCACCGCTCCCCGGCGGTCTCCGCCCACTCCTTGCTCCCCATCTGCACCAGCCGCGAGCAGCACCGCGCGAACGCGAAGATCTCCTCTTCGCCCGTGAACATCGAGCTAGTGCCGACGGTATCTGGGGATAAACCCTAGCAGTACGGTAAGCAGGTTTAGGGTCGCGCTTGGAGGTGATGCGACAGGCTTACCAGGTCGTCCATTACGCTGCGCATGTGATCTGTGACCTCTTTGTTCTTCGAGGCGTCGTCGGAGAAGACCTGGTATATGGGTACTTCGGACGAGATAAATAGTTTGGTCTGCGAAAATGTCATGAGTATCCTCTCTCAGGTGCCTGACAGCGGGCATACTTTGCTCTCATAACAAGCTGAATGAAGATAGGTCAGCACACGCACCACATGACACTACGGACCAACCTACCATCTATAAAAGTAATAAACCTCCGCGCCTACCCAAATTGAATCAGGCTCCCGCACACACTCCTCCCTAGCTCACTCACCATATCCTTTTTCCCCAAATCCATCTTCGGCACATCCAGCACAAACACCGTCCCGAACGCCTTCGTAATCTCCAAATAATCCGCCGCGCTCAACGGCTTCCCACACAGGTCCTCGAACCGAAACTTCGCGACCCTGCTCGTGCACTCGGGGACCTTGAGGGTGCGCCCCCAGATGTTGAGCTCGCGGTCGCGCTGGAGCGGGTCGGCGGGGTCGGAGGTGAGCGCGGCGAAGATCTTGTTGATCTCGTTGCGCGTCGAGTCGGTGAGCGGGTGGTAGTAGACGTGCGAGAGCGCGCGCGGGACGCGGCGGTAATCTGGGGATGGGTGAGCGCTTGGAAGGATAATGGAGGTTGGTGGGGCGCACCTGTCCCGGAATCGAGGTCCGTGACATCGAAGCGGGTCTTGAGGAGCTCTATGCAAGGGACGAAACTCGACCGCTGGATCCCGTTCTTGTAGAGCTCGTCAGGATGGCGACTGGTGGATGATCATGAATGGCCCCGCGAATCACCCAATAGTTTCGCGTACGCACTTGGACGTGATCACGCAGACTACTCCAAAGTTGAGCAGACTCTCGAACAGGCGCCTCAATATCATGGCGTCTGCGATATCGGTGACCTGCCATGGGGACACAGTCAGAGCGGATCGAGAGAGGCAAGCCCGCACGCAACAACCTTCACCGCACCTGAAATTCATCAAAGCACAGCACCGAGGCCTCCTCTGCCAAGTCATGGGCGACGGGCAATATCGGGTCCCCGCCGTGGGCGCCGAGCTTTGCCTTCATGGCGTGTATGCGCTTGTGCACGTCGATCATGAAGGCGTGAAAGTGCACGCGGCGCTTGCGCTTGACGTTCGGGGGGAGGGTGTTGTAGAAGAGGTCCATGAGCATGGTCTTGCCGGTGCCGACGTCGCCGTAGAGGTAGAGGCCCTTCGGGACTTGATCTGGGGGGATTGCGACGGGCACCTCTGGCTCGTCGTCCCGGCGGAATAGGCGAGAGAGCTGCGGTTGTTTGCGTTAATTGAATGCATGGAGTGAAGAAAGACGACGTACTAGGGATCCCTTCGGATGTACCTCTGGCACTGGAGGGGGCTCGTAGTTTGCCAACTGGTCATGGAGCTTCTGCAGCTTCTGGATGATCCTGGTCTGGTGGTCGTCCTTCTTGAGTGCACCCTTTTGAACGAGTGTGTGGTATTGTTGTAAGGGGGTAACGTGGGCTGTGTAAGACTGTTTAGAAGCAGCACTATCAGAACATGGGAACAGTTTACAGGGTTACAGACAATTTCGCGAGTTGTTCTCGCCCATTAGGTGGTGGGTATAGAAGGAGGAGTCATCGACATGGGGCCTGGCATGGGTGCCTCCCGCGAGAGATGAGTTGGATCGACGGTGCAGGATAGCAGGACGCAGAGCGGGGCGGGGGCGGGGAACGAGCGTGGAGTGGGCAAGGCGGCGCTGGGTGAGGTAGGGGCATCGCCTGAGGCTGGCGGGCTTCATTGCGTGGATAGCAGTGTGGAAGCAACAGGGCGGGCGTTAGTCAGTGATGTGATCTCGCCGGCTTCTCCCGGTGCCTCGGCGTCGCTCATTGGCCCGTCCCGACGCTCTGCTCGCCATGGACGACGACACCGAGGCCTTCGTCCTGCTCCTCCTCGCCGACAGCAGCCTCCCCACCGGCTCGTTCGTCGCGTCTGCCGGCCTCGAGTCGTACGTCGCGCACGGCTTTGCCTCCTCCGCCCCCCCTTTGCATTCCGCGACCAACTTCATCCGCGACAGTCTCGCGTCCTATGCGCGGAGCGCCCTGCCTTTCGTCCATGACGCCCATCGCGTGGTCGCGTCCCTCGGCTCACGGAATGGCACAGTACACGATTCTGATATCGCCCAAGCAATCGAGCACCTCAGGACGCTTGACGATTTGTACGAGAGCATGACATTGAACCACGTCGCGAGGAGAGCATCCAAGACCCAAGGGGTCGCCCTCCTCACCTTGTACTCCAAGGGCTTTTCCAAACCCTCCCTATCCCAGTTCACAACAGCCCAGGATAGCACCCAAGAAGAGAAACACGCCGCAGCCATGCTAAAGCTCGTGGACCGCTACAAGCTCGCAATCAGGCGCGAAGAAACGCAGGGGCATCTCCCCACCTGCTGGGCCGTCCTGACCGCCGCGCTCGGGCTATCTCTCGGTGCGACCCCCGCTTACCCTATATTGTGCCTGCCTCACGTCACGTACACAGAACGCAGTCGATTCCTGCATCTCTTCCTGCACGCGCGCTCGCTCCTCTCCGCCTCCGTGCGTCTGAACACGCTCGGGCCGTACGCCGCCCAGCAGCTGCTCCTGCACGCCGTGCGTCCGCTCGTCCAAGCCGAAGCCAACAACTGCAAGGCCCTGCGCACCGGGTGCATCGATCCCTCACCAAACGACTTCAACTTCGACGATACAGTCCACGGCCCCGCCGTCACCTGGCCCCTCGGCGAGATCCTCGCGGCACGCCACGACCTGCAGCACTCTCGCATTTTCAACAGCTAGCCCGGCAGTCCACAAGAAGGCTTCAGAGAAAAACAATACAGAGCCTATATGAAGCAGGCTTTTTTACACATCCTTCTCCCTCCCCCGCGGACTATGACGCCGTGACCAACGCTAACCGCGCCGACACCTCCGCTTGCGAGCGCACCAGCTCCGCGAGGTACGACACCATGAGCGTGTCCTGTTCCAGACGGGTCAATGCGTGCTCCTGTGCTGAGCGGCGGGGAAACGCACCTGTAGACTATCCCTGAAGCCGCCCTTCTCGAGCTCGCCCGTGTCCGCGCCGAACGTATCCATCAAGTACCGCCCGACCGCGGGGTCGCCCTTGACCTCCCCGGCGAGCACGGACCGCACGTACCCGAGGACGCGGTCGAGCATCGCCGAGACTGTCTGGAGGGACTCGGCGAGGGTGTCTAGGTCGGAGAGGGGCGAGGAGCTGTTGGAGGTTAGGAGGTCGACTGAGGGTCCGAGGTGAGTGGGAGGTCAGCGCGAGATGGGAGGGGGACGTACGGCCGCTGCGCTCGGCGTCGTGGAAGCGGAATTCGCAGGGGACGGGGACGAATACGCAGTTCTCCGGTTTGGGGTGGACGCCGACTGGCGAGCTGGGACAGAGCAGTCAGGGAGCGTGGGCAAGGGATGATCTGGCGGGTACGGACCTGACGTAGGCCTTGACGCCCGGCTGGTGGCCTTCCTCGACGCCGGTGTTTAGTGCGATGTGGATGGCGGGGTGGGGCGCTGTCTCTTGGGTGTAGAAGTTTTGTATGAGGGCAGAGTATGTGTTGAGGTTTGATCCCGTCGAGTACCTACAACCAGTAATGCACACATGAGGATTCTCCAAGAACCCTCCCCGGCGAGGAAACACTCACCACCCAACAATGACCTCCCGGGGGTGCACCCGGTGGTGCAGCTCGTACATCGTGCGGTGGTACTCCATGTCGACCGCGACGAGCTCGTCCGTCTCGTTGTGCACGACCGCGTACGACGAGCGCACCTCGACCTCGCCGCTGTCGTTGCGCACGCCGAGGAGCGTGCCGATCACGCGCGCCTGGTCGTCCATGCGCCGCAGGTAGTGGTCCAGGATGGAGAAGAGCGCGACGGGGTGCAGCGTGACGAGCGTCGGGGTGCGGCTGGGCAGGGTATGAGCATGATCAGTACTGTGCACTTTGAAGGAGGGAGGGGAGGGGGGATACGGACGGCTGGCTGCTGTGCGTCCCTGCGGGCACATTCTGGATGTAGACCGCCGACGAGGACGTCCCGAGAGGCATTTTGGATTTGAAGCAAGCTTCAAGGCAATTCTTTCGAGACTTGCTCGCGCCTGGAGAAAAAGCAGACCCCGCGCGTGCGGCGTTTGCCGAAGGCACCTCTCCTCACGAAAAACGCTCATCATGCCCTCGGAAGAGACAAAGGTGCGGTTGCCCTGGCATTTGCATGCGGGAAGCTTGCTCATGGGGGTATAGGAGAGAATCATCAAGGTCGTGGAGGTTGGCCGGGTGCGTGGATAACGTCGTGGCAGTTGGCGTGTGCAGGCCTGACGTGTGTTCGCAGACGGTCATGCATTATGGCTGGATACCTTTCATCATCTACGTCGGATATACGAGGAGCAGTCCACAGCCGTCGTTGATCAAGTGAGTCCCAGCGCGGTTACTTACTGGACGCTCGAGGTTGCTGACCGCTCGCGCAGGTTGATTAGTCCCCTTGCATAAAACCGCTCTGTCGCGCTTTGTATATTATCACCCATCCTAATCCTTGCATCGTCTCTCTTCTCGTGACTTATTTGCGTGCCACAAGACACCCGGGCTGATTGAGCAGAATTGTGAGTCTCCCTGTCAAAGTTTGGACAAGGATTATTCTTGTGGTTGGCGTCGAGAGGCGTCCCGATCGGTATCTCTGGCGTAACCGCTGTGGCAGGTTTAGCCAGGGTGCGACGTGCGGATAATGCAAGGCCAGATATGAGTTCATATTCTATCTTGTGGTTCTTTATCGCTGTTGGCAAATCCAAGCTTACGACGCCGTGCAGATTTGTTCGCCATGTAGCGCTTCAAGTAACAGACGATCCATGACAGAACGCATTTGCAAAGCACAGTCACAACCATTATACACGAGTATAAAATAATAACATGATGCAGCGAGCCCTCATAAGTAGACCCTCCTCAATTCCGTGGCAGCAGTGATCCTCTTGCACATCGGACAGAGTTTCGTGGAGCCCAGACACCGCAGCCAGCATTCCCGACAGCAGGTATGCCAGCATCCGGTACTGACAGTTGGCTCTGTGTATGGGTCCAAGCAGATACGGCATAATAAAGTTGTCGAGGACGAAACTCGCATCGATTCCTAGAGATCTCGTCAGTTAAGCCGAGCACTCAGACATGGTGAGTTTACGTACCAGCTGCTTCACCTTGTTTTCCAGCGCAACAACCAAAGCCGACGCGTCGCCCTTCTTCCTCGCCAAAGTTATCGCAAGGTCCATGAGGTCCGTCTCGCCGACGCCCATAACCTCTTCCATCTCGGCCTTCAGCCCATCCACGCCCGTACTCCCAGTTGCGAGCCTCCGGACCACTTTGCCCTCGGCCACCAAGGCTCGCAGGGTTTTGCGCTCGTGTGTACCTTCCCCATCGGCTTCGTCGTGCGCTTCCACGTCTACTTCCAACGATTCGCCGAGGACGTCTCCCTCTGTGAACTGGGCGTCACCGAATACTCCAGCGTCATCCCCGTCGACGTCGATATCCTCGTCAACGTCTTGCTGATTCCGGTCGAGGGTCGAGAAACCAGCGCCTACCCTCCTGTTAATGAGAATAGGGCTGCATGACTCGGGGACACTTACCTCGAAAGTCATCCGCGTCCGCGATCCTGACCTGCACATCCCCATCCCCATACGCCCTCCGTCTCTCTTCCCTCTGAGTCTCCTCCAAGACCCGATTAGCATGTGCCAGACACGAGTCCACATGCGCCTCTACCACATCTGGGTCACCCTTGATGACCTGGAGACATACCGGACACACCCCCTCTCCTCGTCCCGTGGTCCTCCTGCTGAAATGGCTGTCCTCTTCCTCCCGGGTCATCTCACGCAGCTTGGTGTGCCGTTGTTTGCGGCGTTTCATGATCGTGTGGAGGGTCTTGGTCGTTTGGACCAGGATGTCGGTTGTGCTGGTAGAGGGGGCGGAGGACAGGGCACTAAGAGACTTGCGGGCTTTCAGGAATGACCGCCGAGATCGAGAATCAAGCCTAGGTATGGCTGGATAAATTGCACGAGTTTGATTCGCGGACAGGACTTACCCCTCCTCATTCACTTCTACAGCCTCCATGGAGCTCATGTTGCCTAGAATATCCTCCACCCTCTGCAACTCTAGCACTGCGTGCGCGCCCAAAAGCCGTACGGGGATGACTTCGTCGCAGACTGGACATGGCTTCGTCTGTGCGCGCTTAGCTTCGGCGTCTCATCAGCTTTCATATAGTTTGCAGGCGACGAAGACGCGCACATCTCTTTACGGGCGAGGCCGCGACCTCTTCCGGTGGCGGAGACAGCGAGGAGATACTCTCAGTCTCGGCGAGCATCCGTTTCTTCCCCCTGCACCCCTCACGGTTAGCTCAGTTTGAACCAGTCTGACAATGGTCCGTACTTTGCATCGGATCTGGAGGGCATGGCGGCGAGAAAGTGTTTGCAGATATATGTTCTGGTTTTCGACAGGCTTTGCAGGTCGTTTGCGACGGTCTATGACGAGGACTTGGTGATGGATTGGAGGCTGCTGTGTTGGATGAAGTGCCGGACGCGCGGGGGAAGCAAAGGCTTCCCGATCCCATCTGATCGATCACTGCAGAACGTGGCTTCATATAGACGGCCTAATATGGTAACAATTCAAGATCCTTGGTTGCGAGTCTTCACCGGAACATGATTATTATGCGCAAGTTCCGGCGTTCTCAGGTGGCTATCAAACGAGGCACGTTCTGAGGTCTCTTCCACTCGAGCGACGGCCGAATTGGATATCTGTCTTCACCTCGGAGGACGCATGATCTCGTGAAGACCGTCTTCCGAGGTATATCCGAACCATATACAGGAACCCCCTTCGCATGCACCCCAGCCACGGCAGCCCCCCTTGATTTTCCTGCAACAATGACCTTCGACAACATGAAGATGCTCGACGCCGACTTCGACGTAGAAGATGTTTTGTCCAGGATTCCGATGCCGGGCAAAATCAAACTGCTCACCGGCCTGGTGGGTACTGTCCTAGACGTTCGAACCGTCTCCGTTGACTGTGTATAGGGGTGGTGGCATACCGAACCTGTACCCGAGGTAGGGATACCCTCCATGAGGATGAGCGATGGTGTGTTTCCTCCCACCCCGCCGTAAGCTGTAACGCGCACAAACCTGATACTCCGACGCAGGGCCGAATGGCGTCCGAGGAACGCGATGTAAGCTACTCTGTTGACCCCAGACTGGGAGCAGGCTAACTTTCTACTCCGTTTAGTCTTCAACAGTGTACCCTCCAGCTGCTTTCCGTCTTCCACCGGCTTAGGCTCGACCTTCGACGATGAGCTTGCTTTTCAGGTCGGCAAAGCTTTGGCAGATGAATGCAAGGCCAAAGGTATGCATCGGACATAGGTCCACCCTATCTGAAAGTGATCTCTCACTGATACCATCAGGCTGCCATATCTTACTGGCGCCTACCGTCAATACCCAGAGGTCACCTCTCGGAGGCCGCGGCTTTGAATCTTTCTCTGAAGATCCCCACCTGAACGGTTCTATTGCTGCCGCTTACATTAATGGCTTGCAGTCTCAAGGAGTTGCTGCTACTATCAAACATTTTGCCTGCAATGACCAAGAGTTCGAAAGGTAGGAGGGTAGTATGAATTACGATTCAACACTTATGAAACTCTTTGCAGATTTTCCTCTGACAGTATGTCTTTCACTTTGTTACATTATCTCAGAAAATGCATTCGTTACAGGCGTCGTCAGCGAACGACCCTTGCGGGAGATATATCTTAAGCCGTTCCAGATTGCTCTCAAGAAGTCTAACCCGTGGGCGCTCATGACAGCGTAAGCCTCCGTTGCAATGAAAGAGACACTTGCCCGAGGCTGTACTGACTTCCTAATAATGAAGCTACAACCGTCTTAACGGAACTCACTGTTCCGAGGATAACAAGCTGTTGCAAGATATATTGAGAAAGGTAATGGCCAGCAGTCAAGGGTGTGGAAGCGCTACTCACACCTTTGCAGGAATGGGGCTATGAGGGACTCATTATGAGTGACTGGACAGGTGTTTACAGTACCACCGAAAGTATCAAAGCAGGCTTGGATCTTGAGATGCCGTATGTAATGACCCTGCACGCGATTCAGCAGCTGCTTACCGTACCTAAGTGGTCCCGCTTATATGCGAGGCAAGGCCGTAGAACGTGCCCTCATTGGAGAGAAGCTGTTCCCTAGCGACATCGATGACCGAGTGCGAAAGGTATGTCACTGGAAACCGGCATTCCTTGCGGAGTCCGTGATTAAAGGTGGACTATTAGATCCTCGAACTGCTCAAGCGAGCATACAAATCGGGGATACCATTTGACGGCCCCGAAGAAGGCGTGGACAGTCCCCAGCTCCGCGCCCTCCTGCGTAAAGCAGCAGCGGACGCGATTGTACTGCTAAAGAACGAGAACAATGTGCTGCCGATCCCTACTTCGGGACCTAAGAAGATAGCAGTCATTGGTCCGAACGCGAAGCAAGCCTTCACCTCCGGAGGTGGGTCTGCGAGGCTCGCCTCTACTTACACAGTATCGCCGCTCGAGGGCATCACTGCAGCCGCAAAGGAGCTTGGTGCGACGGTGGAATACGCCATAGGAGCTACGTCGCATAGGTACCTCCCTTTGCTAGATGGCTATATCAAGCAGAATGATGGGAAGCCGGGTGCGCTGGTGGAGTTCTGGAATGAGAGCCCTTCGGCGAGTTTCCTCGATACGATGACGAATCTCCAAGAGACTCTGCCGGAATGCGCGTGGAGCATGCCTACGCTGGGTTCTAATTGTTTCTTGGCAGACGGGGTGGTAAGGACGGACTAATCATTATCGAAGTCTCTACGCACTGATGAGCTCCTAGGACGACAACAAGGTCAACGAGATTTGTTGGCTCCGCGTAAGCAATTTTTCTCAGTCTTTAACCTGCGTGCTTCATTTCATGCAATACACAGTATTCTACGATTTTCGTTCCCGACGAATCCGGCGACTGGGAGCTGGGCCTCAACATAGCCGGAAACGGCAACATGTTCTTCAATGGCACAATGGTGATCGACCTGAGCACCAACCCCGAGCAGGGCGAGTCTTTCTTCGGGTTGGGCACGGTTGACATGCGCGCTACCGTCAAGGGCCTCGAGGCGGGCAAGGAGTATCCGATTGAGGTGAGGCTGAGCAATGCTCAGTTCATCGGACGGGGTAGTCCATTCACCTGTCGGGGAGGTATACGGTTGGGAGCAATGAAATTCGTCGGGGAAGAAGAGGCCATTCAGGAGGCTGTCAAGTTGGCTAAGGAATCGGACGGTGAGTAATGATCATGCAGCCCCGTCGAGCTGGCGGCCTAACCCCTGATAATAGTGACTATTCTGGTTATTGGTCTCAACCACGAGTACATATATCCTCCTTGCACGAGATCTGGTCATTGACGCACCGTACAGCTGGGAGAGTGAAGGATTCGACCGTAAAGACATGAAGTAGGGACTAATGTTCCTAAGTATACGAGTTCCATTGATCTGTATTGGCAGGTTACCTGGCCTGACCAATCGTCTCGCATCTCAAGTTCTTGAGGCGGATTGTGACACAATTATCGTACATCAGTCGGGCACTCCCACAGAAATGCCTTGGGTCGATGGAGCCAAGACCTTGCTTCAGGTAAGCGCACCATGAGCCGCACCGGCAAGACTAATAGCTGTTGTAGGCCTTCTACGGAGGAAACGAACTCGGCAACGGATTAGCGGATGTGCTTTTCGGGAAGGTAAACCCGTCGGGGAAGCTATCTCTCACATTCCCGTGCGTATCAACTTTTAACTGCTGAGAAAGTGCTCACCTGCCCACAGTCAGCGACTACAGGACTCTCCTTCCTACCCATCGTTCGGGGAGAAGGGCGAGGGGTACGGGAAAGTATTATATAACGAGGTCTGTGTGACTGCATCGATAGTGTCATAGTCCACTAAGGTCTGCATCCGAAGGGCATTTTCGTCGGATACCGTGGATTCGAGATCAAAGACTTGAAGCCGATGTTCCCGTTCGGATATGGTCTATCGTACACGAGTTTCGGATATTCGGACCTTCAAGTCTCGCAGCCCACGCCTGAAGGGAATTTCACCGTTTCTTGCACAGTTAAGAACACAGGGAAACGTGACGGCGCCGAGATCATCCAAGTCTACGTATCAGACACAGCGTCCGCACTTCCGCGACCCGTAAAGGAGCTCAAAGGCTACGCTAAGGTGTGGCTCCAGGCCGGAGAGAGCAAAGTAGCGAGGATTGACCTGGACCGGGAGGCACTGGGATTCTACGATAATCGAAGGTCCTGCTGGATCGCTGAGGCAGGGGACTTTGTAGTACACGCTTGTGCCTCTTCCGCCGATATTCGTCTTTCCACTAGCATTGTTTTAGCCAAGACTCTCACTTGGACGGGTTTGTGATTCGTGAAGCCCTGTGGTACTTTGGAGTATACTCGATCCGCTCTGAATTACCCTTCGTTTCAGTTGACACGTTCCCAGAAAAGACGGACTTGATCGCAGGGCAAGTGCAGGCTGAGAGCTCGCTCAGCTGCTGCAGCTGCTCGGGCTGTGGCTTCGAAGATCGCCTATGATAGATCGGAATCTTTGTGTTGTTCCCACGGCCTGTAGGTTATAGGTCCCGGTTTACGGACCTGAAGCACGCGTCCCGACGCGGTGCTCCCTGTTGACCCTTCAAGTCACTCTTGTCTGGCTTATGCTGGTTGATCACAGTTGGAACCCTACGTGAGCTGACGGACGCGCAACATGGGTAAGCATGGTGACGATAACTGCTTGTTGCGTCCCTGACGTCTGGACCAGATTCCGCCATCTCCAAGCAGCTGGTGGACAAGATGTACGAGAAGCGGAAGGCGGCAGCCCTGGATCTCGAAAAGTAATGGTCCTGTATTTTTTGTGACCAAGAGAGTAATCCAACAAGTTGCACAGACAAGTCCGGGACTGTCACCAGCAAGGAGATGAACGGCGCATCAGCCAGATTATTGATCAACTCGTAGAGATGTTTAGCAACCCATCGAACCCACTACACGTGAGGAACGGAGGATTGATAGGTCTCGCTGGAACTGCTATTGCCATGGGCGTCCATATAGCTCCCTACATGGATAAATTCGTTGAACCTTTGCTGGTCTGCTTCACGGATCCAGAGAACCGCGTACGGTACTTCTCAGCGGAGTGCCTCTACAATGTTGCCAAAGTGTCGAAAGGGGAGATATTGGTATACTTCAATCCTATATTTGACGCTCTGAGCAAGGTAAGGCGTCGTATTGCTTCGAGGATGGACTGGCTCATGCTGTTCGCGTAGCTTGCGGCCGATTCGGAGCTTTCTGTGAAAAACGGTGCTGAGCTGTTGGACCGACTCTTGAAGGACATAGTGGCGGAGTCCGCCTCTGTTTATGTCCCTCAATATGCGGAGACAGAAAAGATATCAAAGGAGGCCGACGAGGGTGTTCTGGTACCTCATCCCGTAGACGGTCCGGGCGGGTATCCTGGGGCTAGAAAGGCGTTCTCCCTGGCTCGGTTCATCCCTTTATTGAAGGAGCGAATTTATGTCATCAGCCCTTTCACCCGCAGTTTTCTCGTGTCCTGGATCACAGTCTTGGATTCTGTACCAGAGCTAGAACTCGTGACCTATTTGCCGGAGTTTCTGGATGGTCTATTGTAAGTCTCGTGTATCTCATGCTGCCGGAGCCTGATGTATTAGGTCACTCTAGAAAGTACTTGTCCGATCCCACCGAAGATGTAAAGATCCAGACTGAAAACGTCCTTGCGGACTTCCTTCGAGAGATCCGCGATGTCACCCTTGTGCGCAAGCGCAATGAGGAGCAAGCGCGCCTGAAGCAGAAAGCTGATGCAGCTGAATCCAAATCACAGAATGACGGTGAGAAGAATTCCTCGTCTGATATCACCCCAACGCATACGGAGAAAGCTATGTTCATCTCGGAAAGGGAAGACTCAATTGCTGGATACGACAGCGATGAAGCTACGAAAGAGGACTTGGGGTCTACATCTGAATTGCGGGATACAGGCGGTAAGTGTGCCTCGCTGTTGCAACAACTGCGTGCGTCTCATCTATCCAAGCATGGATTCCTGGACAAGGGGTCAAGATCGATTACGCCGCCATAGTCGACATACTCATCAGTCAACTTGATGGTGACCGTCAGTAATTCCGATGTTTTACGACCGCAGGAATTCTCCACTCATCTTTTATCTCGTCCCCCATTACAGACGACGAAATCCAACAGTCGACCGCCCTAAGGTGGCTCGCAGAGTTCTTAAACTTCGCACAGGAAGTGATAGTACCTTTTACGCCACGGCTCATCCCAGCCATCCTCCCGAACCTCGCTCACCATGTTCCGATGATCCAATCCGCCGCCAATCGTACCAATCAGCTTCTCCAGAAGGTCATCCAAAACCTACCTACTCCGGACACCGACGCCCACCCAGCACCTGCCGAGCGATTCACTTCAACACGGCCTGTTCCATCATCACCAACTCCTCTGGCTATGTCACCGCCTCCTACGCGGCACTCATCTGTGGGAAAGGATCCCAGTGTGCCAGAGATGACTCCTGTAGACAACGCCTCGGATGGATCTGGCCCGTCTTTGCAATCAGAGCGACTGACTACAAAATCGAGAACGAACACTCAGCAGTCCGAGATTTCAGCTCTGAATCCCGTGGGTCCGTCGCAACTGGAACTGAACAGGCCGCATTCACCGAGTATCAGCATGTCCCCCACGCAACTAAGCCCGTCAGATCCGGATCCGTTTGACTATCAGGCCACCGTGAATGCGCTGACTATCCAATTTCTGAGTGAACACGAAGAGACTCGCGTGGCGGCTATGAAGTGGCTCATCATGTTGCATCAGAAGGCTCCTAACAAAGTATGTTGCTCCTTATTATTTAGTGGCTCTCCTCACGATGATTACCAGCTCTTGACCATGGACGATGGCACGTTCCCCGCCCTCCTGAAGACATTATCAGATTCTTCTGAGGAGGTCATCAAACATGATCTGCAATTGATTGCCCAGATATCCTCCACATCGGAAGAGTCATACTTCAAGTCTTTCATGATAAATCTTCTTGAATTGTTCAGCACAGATCGGCGACTGCTGGATGCTCGAGGTAGTCTTATCATCCGGCAGCTCTGTGTCAACCTTAGTTCCGAAAGAATATACCGAACATTCGCGGAAGTCCTGGAGAAGGAAGACGTGAGTGACTTCTAATCGTACTCCTCAAACTGTGGTAAGACTTGCTTCTCTAGGATCTTGAGTTTGCGAGCGATATAGTGCAGAAACTTAATATCATCCTAATCACTGCTCCTGAACTGGCAGACTTCAGGAGAAGACTGAAAAGCCTTGAGACCCGGGTAAGAGCTCCGACCTTACTCGTTTGCCGCCGCGTGCTCATCGAGCTAGTACAGCAAGATGGTCAAGCACTGTTTATCACGTTATATCGTTCATGGTGCCATAACGCTGTAGCAGTGTTTTCACTTTGCCTTCTAGCACAAGCATATGAGCATGCATCCAACCTTCTGCAAATATTGTATGTTTACGCTCACGCCGATTTCAAGCTTCGACTGAGGCATGGAATAGTGCAGATTTGGAAATCACTGTGCAATTGCTTGTGCAGATCGATAAACTGGTACAACTCATCGAATCTCCCGTGTTCACGTGTATGTGGTAACCCTGAAAGGCATGCGCGCAACTGCTGATAGACGTCCCTGGACAGACCTTCGACTGCAGCTTCTGGAACCTGAAAGATACCCTCACCTCTTCAAGTGTCTGTATGGGCTCCTGATGCTCCTGCCCCAAAGTTCCGCTTTCATTTCTTTGAGAAATCGACTGATGGCGGTGAACTCTATTGGGTTTCTGCACATTCCTAACAAACCGTGAGTGCAGCATTGAATCGTGAGGAGGTACCGCGGCTGCAACTGATGTTTGCAGGTCCGCTGCAGCTTTTTCATCCCGATCAAAGATAATCAATCGGGACGAGATCAAATGGCAGGAATTACTGTCCCATTTCAGATCAGTGCAAGCTAGGCACGAGAAGGCTCGTAGGCAAGCCGTTGGTAGCGATGCTCCGTCCTTCCCGGCATTCCAAGCCGGAGACAAGCCCAGTGGTGCTAGCTCGAGTTCCCAACAAGGCTCCACGACGCGTCCCCCGGTTCGTCGAAGAGTTACAGGGGAAGTTCCTCCTTCACCACCTCCCCCTGCGAGGGGCGGTGGCAGTATCCTTTCGCCCCTGAACCCCAGAGCACGGGGAGCCAACGGCTTGCTTAGTTCTGCTCTGACTAGCTCATCCGCTAGACCTGCGAGCCCCACCGCGTTATTGCAGCAAGGGCAGTCAAAGGCAAAACGGACGCTTAGCTTGAGTAGGAAGACTTGATGTATTTATCCATGCTATGTCCAGGGTTTATTATAGGCTCATGAGAAACAGTACTCTACGCTGCATTGTGTCTCCCCTGATGCTTCTGTTCCCATAATCCCGATTGTGTAGCGGTCTTCGTTCATGTCTGAGGGTACAGGAGATTCCGCTTGATGACTTCGATGTCAGTACCCGCTAAACCGATGTACTGCCTAACATATGCTTCTGGACCTCCGTACTTTTCTCGCAGAAGTGCGAGAAAAGCAATCATGGTCTCATGGCTTTATTCAAATGTTAGTAAGAGTGACCGAATCTCGTGGAGTACTTTACCGGCAAGTAAACATGTTCAAAGCAGCCTCATTATTCTCAGCGAACATGGACACCTTTGCTAGTCGTGCCATCACCATAGCCCGAGCTGGCTCGCGTCCGACACGAGTTAAACTGTAGTCCTCCGCGACTATTTCATCATCGACTCCGGCTAGCTAGCACGAGCGCCGTATGAGCACCAGACGACATCCGGTAAGGTAGTGCTGTACCTTGAGCAGAATTGCTGCTATAACACCAGTCCGATCCTTCCCCGCTGATCATATGTCAAGCCGGACATTATCCTGGAGGGCAGTGTGGACCAGGCAATGACGAACCGGTGCAATGAAATAGCAAAGCATCATTAGGCCTATCCCTGATGTGGCGAAGGATAGCACCGAAAGCAACACCACCATGATCGAGGATTTGCGAATAGAGTTCCATGAAAGCCTAATAGTTGAACATGATCACGACGCACTCGCAGATATAGTTGCATGAATCACCTCTGTCTTCCCACTTGCGTACAGCTTGTAGCGCCTATGTAACTGCACTTAGGGAGTTGAGGCGGGAAGGGAATCTTGATGCACGCACTTACTTGGCCATCATCTCAGGACTGTAATCCTCTTTCTGGAACACAGGAGCATGGATGATGTCGATCCCAGGAATGTTCGGAAGTGGCGTATTGTACTTCTCCATTTCTGTGTCCGACCTCAAATCGTAAACAGTGGTGACGCCCAAGGCCTTTAGCTGTTGTTTTCCTAGCCGAAGCAAGCTTTGCTATGCATACGTCGCGACCGACTGGTAAGCTGGCAGCGCACCATCCTCCGTAATGCCGGATATCTCTCCTGAACGATACACGAAGCCCCGTCTTACAATCACACCTGAGGTTGACGACGGGTATCCTCCAAGATCTCTGATGTTGTAGACTCCATCGCACGCGACAAACGGAGGGCGCGAAAGCCTTTCCGCTACATAGGCAGGATCGAGCGGCTCCAGGTCCATGATCAAGGGTAATTACAGGCCGAAGCCACCGTAGGCCTAAGGCACGCCTTACAACAGAGGAATTTAGGGCCGGCGTTTTCGCGTATGGCTAATTAGCAGTACGCGTCGCGTCAAATCCTATTACCACCTCACATCGTGTCTACCATGGAATTCATGGGATTATCCTCACCGCAAGCACCGCGCTCGTCACTACCGCCCAGCAGCGCTCCTGTTGCTTCCCAATCCACGAATGGCACTCCAAGACGGACAAATCAAACTGCTGATGCCCTGGCATTGGACGAAGCGGAGGAAGTGGGAGAGGATGAGACCGGGGCGCGTCGAAGAAGACGTCCACGTACTCAGTTGAATGCAGATGTCCCGGTGGTGAAGGATGCAGTCGGAGAAAGCGTGGCAGAGGCTTTTGAGACGTTCCTCAGAACGTGAGCTTACGTCCTATTCCTCCGGCTTACGCTGAGCTTGTTCCATAGATACACTGAGGAGGTCGCCTTGCCGCCAACACCTGCATCGGATGGAGACGTTCCAGCTTCCTCGGAGAGCGATCTCATTTACATCCAGCAAATCCATACCATGCGAGAGTACGAGCTCACCACTTTATACGTGGATTATGGGCACCTCTTGCAGAAAGACGACGTGCTGGCGGACGCTATCCAAAAGCAATACTACCGATTTCTTCCATACCTGCGACGTGCTCTCCATAATCTCGTCGCTCAATATGAGCCCGAGTACCTGAAAATTAATCCCACTGCAGCGACTACCGACTCCGCCAACCTGCAATCCCGTGAATTCAGTGTGGCGTTCTACCATCTACCTCTGGTATCCGGGATCAGAGATCTTCGAACAGATCGGATCGGCACCCTCATGAGTATCAGCGGGACCGTGACCCGGACGAGCGAGGTTAGACCTGAGCTTCTGTACGGGAGCTTCATATGCGAAGTCTGCGGTGGCTTAGTGAATGAGATCGAGCAGCAATTCAAATATACGGAGGTACGTCTAATTTTTCCTAAGAGACCTTCTCCGCTGACAGACAAACCAGCCGAGCCTTTGTCCAAACCCCACTTGTGGCAATCGAGTAGCGTGGCAATTGCAGATTGATTCGTCGAAATTCACAGACTGGCAGAAAGTCCGAATACAGGAGAACCCGTCAGAGATCCCTACAGGATCCATGCCTCGCTCGCTCGACGTGATCTTACGTGGAGAATTGGTCGAGCGGGCAAAGGCCGGTGACAAATGCGTCTTCACGGGTACTTTCATCGTCGTACCTGACGTCGGACAACTGGGATTGCCCGGGGGTAACAAAGCTGAGCTTATGAGGGAGTCAAGTAGAAACGCCAACGCAGCAACGGCAGGAGTTGGCGGTAACGGCGTAACGGGGCTGAAGAGTTTGGGGGTGAGGGATCTACAGTACAAGACTGCTTTCCTTGCGTGCATGGCGCACGACGCCGATGGAAGGGTAAGACTCCACCAATAGACAAGAAGCCATCCCCTAATTGCTTCCCCACCACAGGCTGGAACGAATATCCGCGGTGAAGAAGACGAGGGTGACGATGCCGAGGCATTCGCCAGGTCACTAACCGAGCCGGAGTTCGACGAGCTCAAGCAAATGCTCGAGTCAGACCACATATATTCGCGTTTGGTCGACAGCATCGCGCCCACCGTCTACGGGCATGAGATAGTGAAGAAGGGTCTCCTCCTGCAATTGATGGGGGGAGTACACAAGCAGACTCCCGAAGGCATGCATCTGCGTGGCGACATAAACATCTGTATAGTCGGCGATCCGTCAACTTCAAAATCGCAATTCCTTAAGTGAGTAGACATTCACATCCGTCGTCGCACAATATTTATGAGTACTTCAGGTATATTTGCTCCTTCCTGCCTCGTGCAGTCTATACGTCAGGGAAGGCGTCTTCTGCGGCCGGTCTTACTGCAGCAGTTGTGAAGGACGAAGAGACAGGTGACTTCACAATCGAAGCTGGTGCATTGATGCTCGCCGACAATGGCATCTGTGCCATCGACGAGTTCGACAAGATGGATATCTCGGACCAGATCGCTATTCACGAGGCGATGGAGCAGCAGACCATCTCCATAGCAAAGGCCGGTATCCATGCAACTCTCAACGCAAGAACATCCATCTTAGCTGCAGCAAATCCTATTGGTGGTCGCTACGACCGCAAGAAGACGCTGCGCGCCAACCTCGCTATGACTGCACCTATTATGAGTCGGTTTGATCTATTCTTCGTGGTGCTCGACGAGTGCAATGAGGATAGCGATTTGAATATCGCACAACACATCGTAAACGTCCATCGGTATCAGGATCAAGCAATTAATCCCGAGTTCAGCACGGAAGCACTGCAGAGGTACATTCGATACGCACGGACGTTTAATCCAAAGGTATCGATCACTCCTATCCGCTTGCAAAGCAGTACTTACGCCTGGCTGTATCTTTGCCAGCTTACCCCTGAGGCAGCAGACGTTCTCGTGGAGAAGTACCGTATCCTAAGGCAAGATGATGCAACGGGAGTAGGCAAAAATTCATATCGCATCACCGTCCGTCAACTGGAGAGTATGATTCGATTGAGCGAAGCCATCGCCCGGGCACATTGCACGAACGAGGTGGGCATGGTTCCCTGGGTAGAAGCACTAGATGATAACTGATGGCGAGTATTGCAGATTGTTCCAGCGTTCGTCCGCGAAGCATTCTCACTCCTCCGACAATCTATCATACACGTCGAACAAGATGACATAGACTTCGACGAGGAAGAATTAGAAGGCGAGCGGGAAGGCGACGGCCGACCGAAAGTCACTGGAGCAGCTGACGAAGAGAGTCAAGACGTTGAGATGGGCAATACCGAAACGGATCAGGATGGATTCGCGGATGCAATGCCCAACGGTGTGGCAGGAGCAGCTGGCATCAACGCCAGAGTATCTGCCTCTCCCGCCCCAGCTGGAGGGGCGCCAGTCAACGGCATGAATGGTCATGCTGCCGAGCCACGGCGTCCAAAGCGTCGTATGGTCATCACGCATGACAAGTATATGACCCTACAGAGCCTCATTGTTCTGCATCTTTCCTCGGTCGAGCGGGAAACAGGGAAGGGTATGGACCGCGATGAGCTCATCGACTGGTACCTCGAGCTGAAGGAATCTGAGATACAAGACATGGAAGAGCTGGAGTACGAGAGGGAGCTTATAACGAAGATGTTACGAAAACTGGTCAAGGTTGGTTCTAGCTGCACCGTCCTGGTCGTTCGTTCGATTGACCATCCCCTTTGTAGGACAACTACTTAATGCAAGTGAGGGGGGATGTCCAGGAGTCCTTACCGATGTCGGGGACAGAAGAGACAGGAGCTTCATCATCTGCGCAAGATGAGAATGTCCGCGTGTATTATATGGTGCATCCTTCGGTTGATACAGAGGGATCTTCATCGCTTTCATGATTTCTGGTCCGCTTCACTGCTATTCAAGTCTGTATCTTCTGCTCCCTGTTTCTCAGTGTCCCGGTTTGTATTATTGATATGAGCATAGTAGTCGTTCAAGCTAGTCACAGTCGAAGGTCCATCATGATCTCCCGTCCGAGTCCTCAACTAACTCGGCATCACTATTGGTCCCGAACCCCAGGATTACCATATCGGGGTAAGTCAGAGCCTCTATCTTAGTCCTCGGTCCGCGGAGAAACACTCGTTGCAATTCCCCACTCCTTAGAGTTCCCGCGCAGTTGCTGCCTGGACTGGGACGCGCGGCTCTTATGCCTTCTTGAACATCCGGGCTTTCTAAAATCTAGGCGTCACTGTATCTAGGGCTGTAGTCTCATGTCGACGGATTCACTCATTGTGCCGACCCTCATACCGAGCGGGACTCTCCAGTTCGCCACTATATCATCTGATGGAACTGTGCAAGACGTGATAGACGCGCTTAAGGATTTAGAAGAAGTACGGGCAGAGGTCCTGGGTGACCTCCAAGATGAAGGCTGGGCAATGCAGAGGGTGCGAAAGGAGGCGAATGGGCGAGCATGGGAGGAAGAGGAGCTGGACGCTCTCGGAGATGGTTCGTAAAATCGTAGGAAATGCTCAAGTTACTGAGATGCTATGTAGGCATTGTGGATGCCTCCGAGCAGGTTGCTCCCCTGGTCTCCAAGACACCCCAGAGCCCTACCGGCCAGCGTCATTTCTCCGCTTTCCCTCTAACGTCTCATCTGCATGCCCCAGGTTTGAAGCTTGTATCACTGAATCCTCTCCTTTCACTGTCGGTGTCTTTCTTGCGAGTACCCGAGATATATGATGGCTTCCAATGGAAAGTCTTCATCGCGCGAACTACCACCATCCAGGACATTATGGGAGCGGTGATTGAAGAGCTCGGCTTAACTAAGGCTTTACCTGTACCCGGCGCTGGAAATATTGACTATGTCTTCGAGGAAGTGTGGTCCGACGGTCAAGCCGAGAGTACGTGCTCTGGTCTCTACTTGTCACCGTGCATGTTATTCAACTCTGGACTAGGATATTCGAGGGTTCCTGCTTCATACCTTGTGCTGAGTCTGGTCCAAGCACCTCTTACTCCAAATCCCCTATCTAGCTCAGCAGTTCGGAGCTTCCGATTCTGCGTACCGGATGAATGGTACCGAAGGTCAAATGCCCGTTCAGTGTCTTCATCGTCGTTCACTCCCTCCCAAGCCACAATCAGACGATTGGCGGACTTGGAGGAATCCGAGGAGGAGGACTGTGAAGAGGGCGACGGTACATTGAAGCAGGAGGACAGACCTGAGTCTCCTGTTCCTGCTTTCTCACCGACAGGAACCCAAGGCTCCGGTGACTGGAGGAGCACTATATCGCAGAACCGTCTTTCTAGTTTATTCGACAGCTGGTATAGCACTTCGCCGTCGTCCAGCGTTTCTTCACTACCTGACAAGCGGAAGAGTGTCAGCGAGCCAAAGCTAGTTGAGCACAAGAGCGGCAATGGAATCATCAGCAAAATCGTTGCGGAACCAGAACCTGAAGAGGATGAAGGTGAACCTGATCCTACCGAATTCGAGCTAATGCTGGTGCGTACCCGAGTATGCTTGATTTGGATTTATCTTACCCCGAGACATGTTAGGACGAATTGGGTCTGAAGGGAGCAAAGCGCGCCGAAATGTATAAGTTGCCGGCCGAACGTAAGCGGTATCTCATACAGCAGAACAAAGCGTTCCGCGCCGCCACGCTCTCTAAGGCTGCGTCGAAGTCTCAGGCACGGCAGCTCGCCGATGCCTCATACTCAGCGTCGTACGGGCCTGCAAGCGGTGCCGGCCTGCTGCCTCGCCTCGTCCCTCAATTGACAGGAGACTCCGGCATAATGAAACGCTTCTCGATGGTGGGCTGGGGTACCGGTGGTTCTGCTCCTTCGGAAGCGCAGGAGGCTCAGAAGTCGAGTGAGAGAGCCTCTAACACTAAATCGCTCAGGATATCTGAAGATCCCCTACCGTTGAAACCTCAGAGCACTGGTGGACTATGGTCGAGCTGGTGGGCGTCATCGGGCGGAGACGCCTCTAGCGGTAACGCGAAGGGTCAGAATGCTAAGACACCGCGGTGGTATGTGGAGATGGTTCAGTCTTCTAAAGTAACAGACATGAAACTCGTCAAACACTTGATATCGCTCCGGGTGCACTTGTCGACTGCTCAATTAGACTGGATTGAGGAGTTTGTCAACGATGAACAAGGCATTGACGTCCTGGGAAACTTGCTGTCTGGCCTCGTTGGTAAAGGCGGCAAGCGGAAGAAGCTCTCTGATGTCGAGGCTACCGTCCTTTTGGAGCTGGTGAAATGCTTGCGGGTACTCTTGAATACTGAGGTAAGATATAACAACATATCAACGTCTTGTGGTCGTACTGACATCCAGTAGCCCGGGTTCAGCCGCGTACTATCGTCCCCGACTATCATTACGCATATCGCCTACTCCCTCCATGATTCATCGTATAAACTACGGACACTGGCGTCCGAAGTCCTCGCCGCTATATGTGTCCTTAACCTGAGTGAAGGTCATAGAGCAGTGCTCGCCGCCATGTCAGACTACCGAGTTGCATTCGACGAGGCCTTCCGATTCGAGGAACTTATTGCGTCTTTACGGTTGCCTGATAGTGAACTTGATGGGGAAGCAGCAGCTTCGTCAGATCCAGGTGGTGATGATGAAGGTATATGGGATGCTCGTGTGGCTTCTATGTCCCTGGTCAACGCTCTCACCAATTGTCCCGATTCATTGGAGGAACGCATTCTACTGCGAGACGAGTTTACTCGACGAGGTTTGAACGAGGCCATCGTGGTAAGTTCTGCTATTCATTTCATTACTCCTCGTGTTTATTGACTTGCATATCTAGGCACTCCGATATGTTAGTCCGCCCGATCCTTTACTGACGCAACTCGACGTCTATACAGAGGAGAAATTCGAAGATGAGGAAGACATGCGCGAACGAGCTCGCAAGCTGATGCGGGATGGCTCCGGACACCAAAGAGAGTCTTCCGAAGGGACACTTATTCTAGATGAATTGATCCAGGCTGCGAAGTATCAGCATGACCTATATCCCACTGTCATAAAGACCTTGAAGTTGTATTGCATGGTCTTGCAGAGAGATATCGATACGTACGTGACACACTAACGTGCATGTGCTTCGCCCATTGAATCTACGCAGGGGATTCAAATCCGAGTTGGTCGCCATCGTCGACGGTTTCCTGGAGCAAATGCTTGAAATGGATAATCTGTACGTATGCCAACCATGTCCGGCCAGGAGACTAACGCCAGCATGACATGTGAGTAGTACTGAAGGGTTACAGATGGCCATGAAGCGGTTCCTGGCTTCGATTGAACACCTAACAGGAGAACAACTTGACGTCTTATCCTCGTCTGGATTGGGTTCGGTAGAGGAGGTAGAAGCCCTGCGTCGCAGAGTCGAGGAATTGATCCAGGAGGTAAGCGAGGATGTAAATTTCTTGTTACAAGTTCTGACTTCGCGCTGTCAGCGTACAGCTCTGCACGATCAGTTGGACGAACAGACTGCAGAGCTCAATACCTTAAAGGCGCTTCCCCTTAGCATTCCAGTTCCTCAACCCAAGAGCCTAGGTAAAGGCGGGCAAGAGGTTAGATTTTCGCCTGACTAACTCCAGGACGCCTGCACTCATTACTACCAGTCTCAGAATTTCCATGGCCTAGTTCAGCGTCTGATTCAGAAAGAGAAGCAAGTTCTCCAGCTGCAAGGTGAACTGCAGCGTCTTAAGGCTCAGAATCCTAACGATGGCAGAGAAGCGGTGAGTTTAACTGAGTAATATGTCTATTCTGTCCATTAATTGGCTATGAAGGAGGACCGTGCGAGACGTGACAGGGCGAAATGGAACGCACTCAGCGATGAGATAGCCAAACTCAAGATTAAGGTAAAAGACTCGCATAATCTGTCCCATGCATCCCTAATGCTCGGGTGACAGAACGAGGAGCTTGAGAGCGGCTGGACCTCGAAAGATAAGGAGGTGATTTATTTGAAACGAGCCCTCGAGTCCGTGTACTCTCGTTTTCGAAGAGAGGAAAATCGAGAGTCGGATGTAGACCCACAGGTCATCGCGACCCGAGCAATCGAGAGTCTAGCTCAGAAAGACGAAGAAATCGCCTCCCTTCGTTCCCAAATTTCTGCACTTGAGTTGCAATTAGCTTCCAAGCCAAAGTTCATTACGGAGAAAGACTACAAATCTCAGGTTGCTCCACCCCCACCACCACCTCCACCAGTGAGGCCTAAGCCCTCCCGTGCGAATTCGGTCATGTCACCTCCATCGACCCCTGGACCTTCGGTGCCTCCTCCTCCTCCTCCTCCTCCACCACCACCACCTCCTCCGCCCCCTCCGGCTCCGGTTGTGCATTCAGTTACAGAGGGTGATGTTCTTCTTTTTGGATGCGGTGATACATCTGCTGACACTAGCCTACTGTGTTATCCTATCTAGCTACAAAGTCTCCCCATGGGGCTCCGCCGCCGCCACCACCACCACCACCTCCCCCTCCTCCGCCATTTCAGTCCCATGGAACAGCTCCTCCTCCGCCTCCACCTCTAACAGCGCCACCCGGTCCTGGTGGCCCTCCGCCCCCGCCCCCGCCTCCGGGGTTTAGGAGCTTCTCCAAGCCTGTATTGAACAAATCGTCGAAGCGCCTCAAGCCCTTCTTCTGGAACAAGCTACCCGATCCTGCCTTGAGTTCAACTGTTTGGAATGAAGTGGGAGCGACTACGATGTTCAAGATGGATGATCTTGAAGCGACCTTCGCCATCGATAATTCCCAGTCGACATCCTCGCAACTGGTTGCAAGTCCTACCAGGAAGCAAGCTGTTACCACGCTCTTAGATATCACCCGGGCCAACAATATAGGTAGGTTGTTTCATGCACAATGACTGGATTGAACCTCGATGCTCAATCCCTTGCATAGCCATCATGTTATCTCGTATTAAGCTCGGATATCCTGATATTCGGAAAGCCCTGCTGGATGTAGACGACTTCAAGTTGTCAGTTGATGACCTGAAAGCCATCAGTAAACAATTACCTACAGCAGAGGAGGTCAGTTTCGAAGAGAAATGTCAGTATTTGTCTGACTTGACCTTTACCCCAGATGAGCCGGATCAAAGACTTCGGGGACGTGAGCAAGCTAGCAAAAGCTGATCAGTATTTCAACGAAGTAAGGTTGGCATCTTGGCGAAAGTAAAAGGCAATACTAACTATGTCTAGATCATGACGATTCCACGACTTTCTGAACGAATAGAATGCATGCTGTATCGACGAAAGCTTGAACTGGACATTGAAGAAGTCCGACCCGAGCTGGATATTCTGCGCAACGCATCTCAGCAGCTTAGGTCATCGAAGAGGTTCAAGCAAGTACTTCAGGTTCGTGCCTCACTGTCGACTTATCTGCCGAAGATGAACGTTCGGTTAGGCTATTTTGACCGTTGGTAACGCTTTGAATGGATCGACATTCCGAGGAGGCGCTCGTGGATTCCAGCTGGAAGCTCTTCTGAAGGTATAGTGAACTGTATCATTGATCACACCTCACTGAGGATGCCTTCCTGCAGCTGAAGGAAACGAGGACTGTCAAAGGAGGGCCCGAGTGTCCTACACTCTTACACTACGTCGCGAAGGTACTCTTGCGCACAGATCCGTCATTGGTGACGTTCGCCGATGAACTGCCCCATCTTGAAGCAGCAGCACGAGGTTTGTTTTGTTTTCCCAAATCATCTTCCTGCCAGGCTGACCGTTATAATCTAGTGTCCGTGCAGACTGTCGTCACGTCTGTGAACAGTCTTACTTCGGGCCTCGGCCGTGTACAGCAGGAGGTCCGAAACTTACAGCAAGCAACGACGCCTCCCGGTGATAGGTTTATCGTTGTCATGCAGGTTCGCCTCGCCCGCCACTGCTGGTTTGCAGAGTCTCACCAAGACATGCCACATAGCCATTCATATCACAAGTCACACCAAGTGTGAATGCTCTGAAAAGCATGGTGAATGTAGTTGAGAGAGAACTCCGATCACTCCTTCTCTACTATGGAGAAAATCCCGATTCCTCCGACGCGCCAAAGTATGAGGACTTCTTCGCACTGGTCGTAACTTTCTCGTCGAATTTGCAGGTAAGACTGACTGATTGAACGTGAGGCGATGTTTTGACTGGGTGATTAGAAAGCAGCCTTGGAGGTTCATGATGCTGCGCCGAAACTTGCGCCGACTGCGTCTTCCGTGTCGGTCTTCGAGGAAGAGTCGGACAAGACACCAGAATCAGTCAGTGTCGCGGCTATCAACACTCGTTTATCGTCTAATTTCTCTGGGCAGACCATCAAGGGAAGCCAGGACGGACAAACGTTGAGGCCACCTCCGGATTCTCAAGGTCGTGTCGGAGGTCTCTCAGTTGGTCGCGGAGACCTCGACCAGGCTATACGAAGCATGCGGACTGGGAAGAGACGAGCACGTCCCAACAGGGAGCGTCCCCTGAGCAAGATATTCTTGGACGGTTCAAGGCAAAGTCGTATATTCGAATGACAGGACATGTTGTTCGGATCTCTTGGGTCTCTACCGCCATCTCAGGATTCTGTCGTTTACAGCTCCATCACATCATATATTTACCATATATTTCATGCTCTATATACGTCTATATACAGTCAGTGGTTAAGGGGGGACACTTCGTCGCAGCGGCGAACGCAGTCCAGGAAGAGTGCGAAGAAGCCGTTTACCTTCAGGAGGTTATTGTGAGCAGGCAAACCTGTGAAATGAATGGCAACCTACATCAAGAGACTCCGTAACAAGGCAGTTCTTACCAGTCGCACCCCAGGAGTTATCGGTCGAATGATAGCCCCAGACGTCTACAACCGTCTCCCCAGACGTGCTATACCGTATCAATATCGAAGAGTTATGTTGTAGAATGATACTCACTGAGCGCCGCTCAATTCTACGTTAACTCTATAGCGTTTGCTTGAGAATAATTCGGGTCGACAAACATATGCAATAGTCAGTGCATCATGGAGAGGGGGACCGTCTATGAATCCGAAAGTGGACTTGTAGGCTTCAGTAAAGAAATTGATTAGAGTGGAAAGGGTGTGACGGAGATTGGTCTGCGGTTTAGGCAAAGCTTCGGATGGGGCGGATCCTGGCGCTAGTAATTCGCAGTGCCAATCTCTAGTCACGATTGCAGTATGGGTAACATTCAGTGGGATCATGACCTTCCTGACGGGCACATCGAGGACGATTTGCGCGGCTTCAGCTTGAGTCGGGGTCTCATGAGTAGCTACAGCACTTTAGGCAAGAAAAGCAAACTCACGATCGCACAGTATGTTGAATTCTGTATGATATGTCAGAAACGCCGCCGGGAGAGTATAATGGGAGGGACCCACCTGCTACTGCTGAACGATTGCCGATACCTACCCCTCCGCCCATGAAGACGAACTCTTCGACGGAGTCAAGTAAATCCGGATAAACGCTCACGAAAAGCGCAATGTTCGTCAATGGTCCGGTCGATATGATTGTTATCTTCCGAGAGCGATCGGTCAGGATCGCTCTCGCTATGCCCTCCACAGCTCTGACTGCTTGGTCCTTTGCTCCCAGGCGCATCAGGACAGCCTCGCTGGTAGGTGAAGGGAGCCCTTCAACTCCCCCGAGGCCGTCAAGACCATGAATTTCTGGATCGTGTCTCGCTGGTCGAATCAAAGGCTTGGTGGCACCCGGATATACATGTACGTCTTCTGGTGCGCCATAAGCGTATAGACACCGTGCAGCATTTATCTCAGTGCACTCCGCGCTAGCATTACCGTGAACCTAAAGCGATGCTAATTAAATCCTGTATCGGCATGTCTAGGATAGACAAGCAACCTATGTTACGGCACAAATGATTCTTACCGTCGAGACACCCAGGAGGCGGAGATTGGGACAATGCAGAGCCAGGAGAATCGCAGTAGCATCATCATGTCCCTAAGTGCGACTCGTCAAGTACCGCCATAAAGCAGAGCTGCTTGAGATGAGTGACGCACCGGATCTGCGTCCAACCAGATGTAGCGCATGTTGAGTACTGCAAGGAGTACTGAGTGCCTTCAGGGATGCAGAAGTGGACAAGGCCAGATAACCGTAGATTGAGCGGTGTTCGAATGTATTCCGAAAGCACTCCGCGATCTTCTACTGACCCCAATTTTCGGGCCCAGTGGCTATTGTCAATACCTGGTTTACCTGAGGTGACGGTTTCTCGATTCCATCTAAAGGCGTATAGAAGGTGTATGCTCTCATCTTTCATCAGCAACCCGACGACAACACGACCATCCATAAGAATATAAGGGAACGGAGAATTACAAGCCAGCACTGACTAGATTACGCGGTGGTATAGGGCTTATACTCATACCCCCAAATGACGCACCAAGACCATCCGTATCGTCCTGGGTCGCGTCGGAGGTAGGTATGGCCGGACCTTGGGCAACGTCCCCTTCATCCTCCTCCTCCTCCCCCTCGTCCTCCTCCTCGTCATCTATAGCCACGGACGACCATTCTCGATACACTCCTTCAATATAGGAGGCGGACTTGGGAAGCTTGTAAGGGTCAAACGGGAAGAAGGTATTCAGTTCAGCGTTGATGGAGTGCCCAAGGACAGCTGGATGGACGGCAGTCGCTCGTGACCGCGCGGAGTGAGTCCCTCGGTCGTTGCCAACGGGAGTCGAGGGACCGGAGCTATACCCCGTCTCATTGCGCCTATTACTTTCCATAATGGTGTAGCAGTAGATAAAGTCGGTGGCTTGCGAGACCCGAGCGAACTGTGTCACAACGTTTGCAGAGCAGACCTAAAAATCGCAAGGTTAACCAGATCCCGTAGTGGTAACTCGCTCTCACCTTCAGTGGGTTGAGGGGGGATGTGATGACACGTTGGATGACGCCTAGCTCGGGCATCCACTTCTTGGTCGGGGCGGACGCACCCACTGAACTGAGCTCGTCCATGTCCTCCTCTTCCTCCTCCACCAGATCCCGCCATCTAAAACAGAAAACGAGGAAGACCGCCTGGCATACAGCATAAAATACACTGTGGTTGCCCATACTCTGCGTGGGTGGCAGAGTAGTACCGGTCTGCATCGTCACGGCATCCATGATATCGATGTGGCTCTTCAAGAAGTTACACAGCACCGAGACTACTCGGCGGGTCCCCTCTCGATCAACGAACTGGGCTCTGCTCACGAAGCTGGCGATATAACTAGCGGCAGCAGCCCGTGTTACCACCGGCTGATCATCTTCCAAAAGAGCTTTGGATACTAGCATCCCTTGGAAGAGATCGCTGAACTCGGGGTCCAGAGAGGAATACCAAAATACCAGGAATTGCGTATACCGTGACTTGAAGGTGCGTATGATGGCACGGTCGAATATGGATAGAAGAGCGTGGAACTGTGCGCGGCGACGCGCTTTACCTCGTTCAAGAGACTCCGGGGATGGCGGTCTGTATGGCTCCGAGGGGGTATCCGAGGGAAAGAGCGGAGAGTCGGGGCGAGACGACATGGGTGATTGCACCAATGCCGGCAAGGGTGGCGTCGACGCATGTGTGCGATTGAAGTGGTCAAATATTAATTTGAGGATCGCATCCAGCTTACTGACCATGTCTTGAACGTGGCGAAAATCGGTAGGGACTTCGGGTTCCTCTCCCAATTCATCGTCGCCTCCTGCGTCGGATGATAGATCGCTGAAGTTATCTACGTCGTCCCCATCCTCGCTTTCCGACTCTTCATCGCTGCCCTCCTGGCCGACGACCGTATCGAAGGGGTCTAATTCGAATACTTCCTCTTGCTCACCGGCGCCCTCGAGCTCTTCGAGCTCCTCCAGTTCAACCTGGATCTCAACCTGAAGGGGAATTGAGTCTACAGGTATTACACGGCATATAACGAACACATACATCGATTTGCAGAGCACGATCGACGATTGTCGCCAATATCCGATCCGCCAGTTCCGGGCAGTAGTCCATGACCTGAAGAAGATTGCGAATATACGTAATCTGCGCAACTTGACTCTGCCGCTTGTGAGGGAAATTACTCAGAAGTAAAGGCTGGAGGGTCGACGGCAAGGTCGGGATCAAAGAGAGCAGGTGACGCAACAGATAGTGCTGACGTTCATAGACCACGCGGCGGGTGAGAGGACGGGATGACCCTTCGGGTAGGCTTGAATCTAACGCCTGGAGTCCGGATTCTACAAAGATACGTTCCAGCACAGTTCGCAGTCTAAGAAGCTGAATAACACACGATGAGTAAAGCCTCGGGTGATAGTGCCCAGCACGAGCGACAAGTATTCTGGCCGAGCGCTGACCAGCATTCCGATGAATGTCGTATATGACTTGACGAATGCGTTATCCATAGTCGTCCAAGGCAAGTTCACTATAGCTTCGACTAACGGAGCAAGGGGACGGTCCAGCCTGGAGACCACATGGGACAGAGCTAGGATCCAGAGACGCAATTGAGGGGATGGTGAAGGAGCCTCCCCAGAAGCAGAGTTTTTCAGGTTGAACTGGTCAAGGAGCTCATCGAAAGCCTCGCTATTCCCCTGGCGAGAGTTCAGGCATCGAGTCTATCGTGTGATCGACGTGGAGATACACACCTTGGCCTTCTGCTGCAGAGCATTATTGATAAAAGCCAAGTACATATCCTTCCTGTACTGCTCATCTTGTCTTATTCGCGAATTGGTGGCTATGGGTCTTGCGATCGATAGCGTCGGCGCAGGGAAGGACTTCGTATGTTTCTTGGGATTGTCGGTGGCTGATGCCACTACTTTCACTTGGGACTGCTCCATGAACCGCGCATTCGGAGACATAGGGCCGACTTTACGCTGCCGCTGGTTGAACTGCGAAAACCGTGAGTGGGGATCCATGGCGGCCTGGCAGAGAGTGACTGCAAGCAGCACCGGTGCCGCAAGGCTCGAAGTGAAATCGAAAAAGTTGGCGGTTACGGCATTGATGTCTGCTTATGTAAGTGTTCGATCCCTTCTGTCGCGCCCTGTGTTCCCCGGGGAGCAGCGGTAAACATGTCGTCGTCTGCTTTCTCTTCGGCGCACAGGCTCTATGTCAAGTCTCTGTACAAACGGTACCTGAAGAACTCGTTAGACTGGACGATTCGAAGGGACAAGTGGCGTGCTGAGGCCCTCGAAATCAGGGCAGAATTCGAGAGGAACCGGTGAGTAGCATTGGGCAAGCAAGCTCCGAGCGTGGGCGTATCATGTTGAACTGGATACGAAAGGGATGTGCACGATCCAAGAGCGCTAGCTACCATCCTTGCGAAGGCGGAAGCCGACCTCGCTGCGAAGCAGCATCCCGACCCTTACATTCGTGAGCATTCTCTACAAACAGGCCATTACCTGTGCTCGTGATTGACTGACTGCGGCTCACTTAGCCCCTCCATTCCCTGGCGGTACCAAATGGTAAGTGAGATCACCTACTCTAGCCTGACATTTACTCATGAAACGTGTACCTGCAGGGAGCGTAACCTGCCTGTGTGTTCGATACTAACTTCCGCCGAATTGTGATCTAACCTATCTTCTCTAGCCCCCAATCGCTCCCATCATCGACCATGAAGCTCCCCACCACTGAGGCTCTAATAGTTTGGACAGACGCGGAGATATGTAGAGCGGTGGTGAAGTCACGGAGACCTCTCGTTGTTACTTGTAACAGACAACTTGATATCCATTTCTGGTTCGTCATATCCGACGTCAGTGTCTCGAGCCTGTGATTGAAGTTGCATGTTCGAACTTCGGATGGGTTGGTTTAAGCTGCGGTTGTACGGTCTCATTCGATACGGTAGGATGCGTCCAGTTACCCAGTGCAAAATACATAAGGCGTATGTTTGTTTATCAGACATTCGATAAGTCGGTCCAGCCTCGTAGATATGTGTGGCCTCGACAACAAGCGGTGACTCCAGAGACGAAGTCGTCGATTCATCGTCATGTTTGGCAATCACATGCATAAATAGTCCAGTATGCGCACGTGTGAGCGGCACGATCGCGCAGCGTAAAGTCCGAGGTAGCTGTTAACAAGGTGGGTCCATATTCCATGCACTGCGGTCGACTCTTATAACGCATCTCTCTTCTGTCCGTCGTCGCCGTTCTCGACGATGAACTATCTTCGTGGGGCAGTCAGCGCAATCAGTGCCCCGTATCAGTACTACAAGGACCTTCCCCCAATCAATCCGTCCACCCTCACCGGCGCCATAGATGTTATTGTGGTTAAACGCCCAGCACCTGACGGAGGGGAGGAACTGGCTTGCTCGCCGTTCCATGTGCGCTTTGGCAAATGGCAAGTTCTACGACCAGCAGAGAAGAAGGTACGTCATAACGCCTTGGGTCAAGTTCATAGCAGGTCAGCTTTGACGCCCGATAACAGGTGAATGTCTCTGTCAATGGTCGACAGATACCATATTACATGAAAATTGGGGACGCAGGCGAGGCATTCTTTGTCTTTGAGACGGAAAGTGATGTCCCTGATGACCTTATAACGTCCCCATTGCTGGAGGCAACGAAGCCAGGGGAGACAAATGCCGCCGCGGTGAAGGCGGGACGATTCGGGGCGAAAGAGAGGGAAGGAGAAGAATCAAGTGCTGACGAAGAGTCAGGGAAACGGGAGATGCAGGAGCCCGAGCCACTGGACCTCGATGCTCAACCTTCATCACAAGAGCTCTCGTCCGAAGGCCTCGACGCTCCCTCAGACTCGCCTGCAGAGTTAAAATCACCTGCCAGCCCCTCCTCTCTGCTTGCTTTCCCCAAGGCGGTCGTGAAGGCTGTTGTTGAGACTGAGCGCGACAATAGACAGAAGGTCAAGGACAGGGCTCTTGCCGCACACAATGCTGTGAAGGATGGTGGGATACGACGTCTGAGCGGGGAACTATGTGCTACGGGCGACAAAGGAGACGAGGTGTTACCGCAGATTAGAGAGCGGGATATCGAACCCGTCAATGTGGTCTATACCAACGGTGAGCCCAGATTACCCCCCGCTGTGAGTTACGACTGACATCTAACTTATCTTCCTTCCACTTCCCTGTCGTTATATATCCGTAAGACATGGTAATCGATGCTTCTGGGTATGGCTCGCATAGCAAAGATCGGTCAGATAGCACCGTCACTGGTTCGTCATCCAAAGGTATGTCAGTCTCTTCATCTGCAAGAAAGTAGCTTTCCCAACTTATGCGGATCTTAGATACTACCAGTTGAGTGGTTCATTGACTCTGGATGTTGTCGGTAGTTGACGGATCTTCTCCTAGGAGCACCTAGCCCAGAATCCCTGCAGGACCGCGATGCTAATGACGAAAGCTCACAAGCCGTACCGTTTCCTACCATGCGGGTCACCTCCGAACCCCCGCCGGAACACGAGTCCGACTACGTTTCTTCGAGTCGACATCCTTTGCAGCCCATCCAAACTGCTAGTACGGCCGGCCCAAGCTCGAGTAAGCTCGCGGTGCCCACGGAGGAATATTCATGGGAATGGGGTGCATTCCCTCAGAAGTCTCCCGTGAAGCCAAACTTCTCGAGGACTGTGTTTCCGGTGGCAGATCATGTAAGATCTGCGTCGAAGGGCAAAGCACAAGAATTCTTTTCCGAAGTCGACGAAGGTTTCTCGGAGTTGGAGTCGGTATCGAAGGCGAGTTTAGACATGAATCGAAGTGTCAGCGTACCGCCCGACGTCGGAGGAAATCTACCGATCACGCGGAAAGGTCTCGAGGAGCAGAAGCAAAGCAGAGAAGACACCGCGTTCGGCTCAGGGGCCCGGTTACGGCCTTCCAGCAGAGATCCTTACTTGTTCCAAGTGGATATCTTCGGGGGACAGCAGATTGATTTCGAGCTGAGTCTTGTGGACGACGATGATAGCGGTGTATGGCAAGGGGAAGAGCTGGAAGCTGCGCGCAGGTTCGATGGGGGGAGGGTCACGTTCGACGCTTTTCTGGAAGATGAATCTATTGTACGAGACGATAGACTAGTCATTAGATGGGCAGGTGATAAGTGAGTTTGCCCTGATGGATACATGCACTCGGATCTGGTCTCGTATTCTGACGTTCTGGTGCACTACAGGTACATCACACGACAAGACGGGTCTCCACTCATGGACGCCCTTGTTCTATGGCGGGAATCTGCACTCCAGGATAAATCAGGATCGACTACTCCAAGTGAGCCAATTCACTGCACTACTTGAGTTATGGCCTAACAGTCATTATTGCAGCGAACGATCGGAGGCGGCCTCTGCCTGTTCTCGAGGAAAGGGGCGTTGCGATGCTTGAAGAGACGCCTCAACAAAGGACTTCTTCCTGGATCAGCTGGTGGAATAGGACGCGGACGACCAGTGGGATCAAGCAGGAAATCGGCGGAAAGGGAGGTAGGCCAAATCTTCGAGAGATTAACTCAGTGCCGGTCCATACTGTGAGTAGATCGAGGTCACCCCTAGCCTTCGCATATGATTTAGCCTTTGCCGCTTTGTTGCTTTGTGCGTGAATTATAGGAAACGGTGAAGAAACCCAAGCGGGATAGAAGTCTAGAGCCGGAACTTCTGTCCGCTGAATCCGACGCGCACTCCATCTCGGTGCCTACATCCCCGCCACTCGGCTCGGATATTCTCGACTCAGGCCCCCCAGAAAAGCGCACAGATGAAGGCACGCAGACTTCTAGCAAGAGATATGCGAAGACGTTAAGGCTGAGCTCTGACCAACTTGTGCGTATCACTGACCTATATGTCGCTACGGTTACTCGTGTCTGAAGTTCCTCTCTAGAAAGAACTAGACTTGAAACCAGGGTCTAATACGATCACGTTTTCCCTGTCCGCGACAGGAGTTGCAGCTTGTACTGCCAAGATCTTTGTCTGGGATTACACTGATCTTGTTGTAATATCTGATATTGATGGAACTATCACAAAGTACGTCTGGATATATCAGTCCTTGCTGCTCCTTTGGCTGACAGATCGGTCGCTGAAAATAGGTCGGATGCCCTTGGACACGTCTTCACAATGATCGGACGTGACTGGACCCACATGGGAGTAGCGAAGCTTTACACCGATATTTGCCGGAATGGGTACAAGATCATGTATCTGACGTCCCGAGCGATCGGGCAAGCGGACACGACCAGATACTACCTGAAGAGTATCAAACAGAACGACTACCAGTTGCCGGAGGGCCCTGTTATCATGAGCCCCGACCGCCTGTTCACCTCTTTACATCGGTAAGTCATCGCCTTGTACGCCTGCCTTACTGCTGGCTCAAAATGAGACAAGGGAGGTAATCATGCGCAAGCCTGAAGTCTTCAAAATGGCATGTCTTCGGGATATTCAGCGGCTGTTCGGAGGGCGAAATCCGTTCTACGCCGGCTTCGGAAATCGGATTACAGATGCACTCTCTTACAGGAGCGTGAATGTTCCCAGTTCAAAGATTTTCACAATTGATTCGAACGGAGAAGTGAAGATGGAGCTTCTGGAGCTCGCGGGCTACAAATCTTCGTATGCTCGTCCTGCTTTGTTTGCATGGGCGTCTGTCTGACATCCACGTAGATATATACATATGACTGATCTGGTGGACCAGATGTTCCCCCCTATCCATAAGAGCTGGGCCCCCGAGTTCACTGACTTCAATTATTGGAAGGCGCCAATGCAAGAATTCCCTCTCCCTGACTTGACACCGCCATCACCTGCACTGAGTGCCCGCTCAGACACCTCCAACCAAAGTACTCTTGCTCGCTTGAGGAACTTTAGTCTGGTCGGGAGTCGCCAAAATAACATGAAGAACTTCACCCTCCCTCCACCCACGACGGATGCCTCGAAACAGGATGCAGCGCCCGAGAGGAGCGCTACTCTTCGGCAGATGTCGTCCTTCGAGAGGCTCACCAGCGCCCTTGGTGGGTTTACCCGATCGTCTTCGCCAGGACCCGAAAGTCGAAGTCAAAGCCCGGTCTCGCAATCCTCCACATATCTGGATTCGGGTTCGGAAGACGAGGACGATGACCTAGAGAAGCAAAGGGTTCGACGGAGAAGAGAGCGCACGAGGAGTATGGAGAGCATGCCCGGATCCCTGCCTGGATCCGTCGACGAGGACATACATTTTGGATCCGATGATGAGGAGCATGACGAGGACCATGGCTCCAACAGAGGTGACAATGGGGACGAAGCGAACGAAGCGACCTTCGATGAAGACCTGCTTGCGACGGGAGAGATGGAGAGCGTGCCTTTCTTGTAGACGCATTGGACATTGCATACAGCATTACTCGCATACTCATACCTACCTTAGAATTGACTAATAAATTGCATTCTGTAGCATCCTCCGTCTCCCAGTAGCTCGAAGTACGAGTACTCTTGCCGTCCACAATTTATGGCGTCCCCGCACGTGCCCGAGACGCGTCGCATGAATTTATAGTTGCTTGTTGCTGTGGGTCCCAGTGTTCGAATCCATAATTAGCGGTTGCGCCTGTCTGCTTTCTCGTCTCACTTGCAACGCCTGCTCACCTTTTGCAATCGCAGCCTCCTCGCTCTCGAGGCTTAGCGAAGGCCTTACGCCCCCTCACGCCCACACGCACTTGACGCTCTCTTCAAGACTGTTGAACGAAACTCGCATTCTACGCTAACCATGATTCCTCTCGTGCCAACGCTTGCTCTGTCCTTCGTCTCGTTCATATGCTCGGCTTTCGTAATTCTCCGTATTATAATTCCCATTCTACCGCCTTCGCCGTTTAGTGGGCGCGTTCCTCCTGTGAGTTCCAGCTTACCAAAGAGATCTTACCTCTTGCTGAAATCACCCTAGTCCGAATTCGGTCTTCCTAACTTTGGTTCACTGTCCCCAGCGGACAAGAGCCATATCTGGCTTGCCTCTCTGGATATGATTGCTCTCGCGGTATTTGTCTGGCAGGCAGTGAGTGAGAACCTTGGAGGAGTGGCGGACTTCGCAACAGCCCATGATCCTGGTGCAGCGGCCAGATTATGGCTATCAATGACTTTGAGGCAGGCCTGTCTCTTCGTCATCGCAGGCATTACTCTGTTACATGTCCGCATGGGTCGGCCCATCTCTTTCGGTGCCAAGCACTGGGTTCTCTGGGCCCCTACACTCGTTCTCGCAGTCACTTCAACCGCCATCGCCGGAGTCCTCGCCAGTACTGGCCTCTCCACATTCTTCCTTGGCCTCACTACCTACTCCGTAACTATTGCAGCTCTGAGTAGTGTTGCGTTTGGCTGCCTCATTGGGACGCTAATCGTGATTCGGCGCAACCTTACTGCGCTGCATGAAGCTCAGGCGGATCCTTGGCCGCCGGTCAGGGAAGTCGAGGAGAAGCCGCGCCCTTCGTTTGCCACTGAAGACATAGACGCGCTGCGGGACGGCAGCTCTTGGATCACATCCGACGCGGGCTCTCGCCGCGCCTCAATCTCTACATGGTCCTTCACCACTCGTCATTCCACTAGACCGTCAAATGCTGGATCCATCCGCACGCCGCATCCCTTGACTGGATCATATCCTTCCATTCCCCATAAGTCTTCTTTCTGGTTCAATCCGGCTACTCCGTATGACGGTCACGATTCCCCCATCCCCCCGGTACCTCCTCTCCCTTCGCCCTATCGTCCTGCATCTACCAGTCATCCCCTTGCTCACACCGATCCTGATCCATTTAGGCGTAATGATCCTCTTCACGGAAGAGACCCGGTTCCTCGCATGGGATCTCAAACATCCTGGCTCACTGAATCATCCGGCACCAAGGCCACACTTTCAGCATGGTCTTTCCCTACGACACACAGGGAGAACGTTCACACTCCAGATACTGCTACTGCCTTCGTCGACCAGCCTGCTGACGCTCGTCCTTCCACGGCCCATTCCCGTCCTATCACGCCGGCACTTGCCAATGCGAAGGTTCTTGGTGGTTATGGGTACGCCCCAGGCGCTGCCCTGGCTGAGAAGGGGCTTGCCGCCTTAGCTAATGTCCCGTCCGACGATGTTGATGTATCAGTCTATCGCGCAATTGGATGGCTGATTATGATCTGGGTTCCTCTGGTCAGTCGTTCTATATTCTTCCTTTACTGAATTACGCTTATGCTGGTTATAGGCCCTATCGCTCCCATACTTCTTCATGGTGTCCCCAGCTGCGCCCGTCTCTCCCATCGCGCCCCTGCTCATGGTCCTTTCTGTTACTCTGTCCTCCCCAATCTTAGCTGTGAACTTGCTCTTCCGCTCACCACTGCCTATCCCGTCCGGTTTATTTGACAGTTACAGTGAGCCGCCTTCCGTGGTTATGCGCGCTCCGTCCCCGCAATCTACCATCGCGCCATTCTCCCATGAATATAAACGCAGCGGAAGCGTGACTGTCGTCGAAGGACGGAGGAGCACCGACGTTTGGCTGGCCAAAGGGGAAGCAGTTGAAGGCAAGGGTAAGATCGGGCGTGCCTTGGAGATGTTGCATCCCAAGCCCAAATTGTCTGTTCTGCCTATCGAGACCGTGGACGGCGAAATTACCCCGCCGCTCCCAATTCAGTATCGCGAGGATAGAGACCAGACTGTTCCGCCTACTCCTCGTTCGACGAACGAGGCTGAGATGGGTAGGATGCGGACGGACTCCAAGGTGTCATCCTACTGGTCGGGCGACGATTCAGCTGCCTTCAACACCAGGATCATGGTAGCCCAGAGGCACTACTCGGCCATCGCGACTACTGTCGTCGTGCCTCCCTCTCCAGAGAGGCGGGCTTCGCACGATATAGCCTCAACCACTCGTGCTACTGGTGCTGACACGCATGTGACGCACCATCTGCGCACCAGATCCGTGTCTTCTGCTGTTGGTGATGGTCCCGCTCCGCTCACTCCTCCCCCGACGCTTCCGCTGCCCCCCACGCCGCCAACAATCAAGAGCCTTAAGAGTCACAAGAAGGCTCACCTTCGGCACCGCAAGTCCCGCTCCTCTGGGCTTTCCATGAGCGCTATCTCTGACATGGATATTAACGAGATTGATGTGCTGTCGGCGGGAGTTCTGCCCCACCTTGTTCCAGGCTTAAAAATCGGAGGTACCATGAAGATAAGAGACCATTGGAAGATCCCTCAGCCGCCGGCCATCGAGGGAGCCAAGGCTAGCCATGGGACCACGGACACGTCTTTGCCCGCCGAGTTGGGCGGCTTCTCTAGTTATGAAGAGTTCTCTTCCCCGGAGATGCATTCCACTCCTATCACAGCACAGGGCAGGGCAAGAAAGACATCAGGACATAAGAAGAACCATTTCAGCTTGCCTAGGTATGTGCTTATATAATTGAGCGACCAATGTCTTGCTAAAATTCTTCTCTTCCAGCCTGAGTCTCGGAAAAGATGGCGCCCACACCCTCAGCACCTGGAGGGCAGAGATAAGTGGCGCTTTCAACGGCAAGACACGGCAGTATGTTACGGTCTCTACGAAGGAGGACCTCAGACGGAATACTGTATTGGGAGCTGAGTCCGGTTCTTCGACCAACCTGAAGACCGTGGCTGAGGAGGATGAAATGCTCCGACCTCCCTCTACCGCTCCCTTGGACGGTAAAATGTTGGCCAGCAAATATGATCAACCCCAGCATGTCCCTGCTCCCGACGTACCGACCAGTGCTCGCTCTTCCATGAACGCTTTGCTTGAGCAGCTGATGATGGCTCCCCCTTCTGCAGCCTCTACCGCGACCCTCTTCGACTTCGACTCAGGTTCCGGACCTCAGGCAGAGAGTACTCCCCCGGACCAGCATCGCCCGCATCCTTATGCCGCCGTTCAGAACACCGCACCTTCATCCGCTATAACCCCCAAGGAGAAACGTCGATCCAGTATTGTATATATCAAGTCGGAGGACTCTCCATCCTCGCCGGAGCCGTCGTCCGCGTCAGATCGCTTTGCTAGGTTCTCGTCTCGGATGGTCAAACCTCTTCGGCCCAAGGCGAGCAAGCTTCAGTCCAGGAATTCAGCATCGGGAACCCCGGTTGGTACCCCTGGTAAAGGCTTGCGTCCACTCTCCCTTCTGCAGGAAGTGGATACCAATCTGGAAGGCGGAAGCGTGTCTTCCGTGCGTCCTCTTGCTCTCGGGAAGAAGCCAAAGGTCCAGAAGCAAGCCGTCACCGACGAAAATGCTGATCCCTCCGCACCTGCTGGCAGACGGTTGAAGCCGCTGAAGCTTGCCAGGTCTGACACAAACAAGGAAAGGGCCGGTCTGCGCAAAGCAGAGGTCCTACCTGACGTGGTTGTGCGCCCTCCCTCAGAGAGTGCGCACACCGGTTTTGGATACAACTTCCGTTGATCGGGAGTGCTATACCCCAGTCCTCACGAACTCTTTCGTCCCGCTTTCATGATGCTTTCGTGATATCTTATGTTGTCAATGTTTGTTTCAATGTTTTCGCTCTGCAATCCGCTTTGAATATCTAACGACTCGCTGCCTGTTGTTGATGTTATATGCCCTAGTTCTCTCATATGCTTATTGCTAGATCATAAATGCTATGATGTCCCTTGAGGGGTTGCTTGAAAATTATCAGCTTTTATCTGGGTTCTCGTTCGAACTTGACCGTGCTGACCTTGTAGCTGCTATACATGTATGTATGTTGAGCAGTAAATGAACACTAACCTAGTACACCTTTTACAAAATAGCAGAAGCCTTCCACATGTACTCACTCAGGTCGCGCCGAAAATACTTAAGACTGCTGCAGGAGGGGGACCACCTTCCCTGGCTTTGGTTTGCCCGCAGTAAGCAATTGCATGTTTCCAAGGGTGCCAAGCCACCGCAGATGAAGGTGCTAGGGCGGGCACCCTATGAAGAGGCACGCCGGTCTCAGTAGCGCACTAGACGGGGTCAGCATGTATCAGTCTCCAGTATAGAAGCACCTACAATATCGATATAGGTTCCGGTATTGGCGATAGCCAAGAACTCGCCGTCGTAAGAGAAGCTGAGTGCTGTGATGGCATTACTGAAGACGGATCACCATTGGAATCCAGGTAGTTTCGAGCAAGGACGTACTCGCACGCCGCAATGGTGCGGACACATATCAACTCGGTCGTATCGAATAGATTGACAATGGAGTCGTAGCTGCCGGTCGCTATATAGCTAGAGGACCGTCAGAATCAGACGATGTTCAGAGCAGGAGTATGCCCAACCGTCCTCTAGGGTCAAGGGCAATGGTCGAACATCCACCAACGTGAGCGGGAACGCTTTGCTTATCCGAGAAGGTTTCGTAATCTTGAGTACGCAGCGAATGGGTGTTGTGGTTACTGGAGATAATTTCCTCGCCCGTATGGTTGAATATGGCGGTAGACGCTGTTGGACTATGCTTGAGGCGCAGCATCATGACTGAGAGATAGCAGCGACGGGGACGTGAGCTCACTTACTCCGGTGCCTTTATCAACTTTTATGACAGGGTGCCAAGACTCCTTTGTGTCATCTCCGCTTTTTCCGTACTCCAAAAAAATGAGTTGAGTATTTGTTGAAACGCACATAATCCGTCGCCCGTCGGGAGAATAAATGACCTCCAAAGGAGAATACTTCAAGCTCAGCTGCTGAACGTGGCGGCTCTCTGCGCAAAGCAATGGTTCATAAGATTAATTTTATTCAATATATCGAATGGTGTAGACATACGTCGTGCATCCCAAAAGGTGATTCTTCTGTCCCTCTGACTCGAACTGCAGAAGAGTTCGGAGTGTATTGGATGCCAGGCTACGTAGTCCACGTCGTCTGAGTGCCCCCCTGAATACAAGGTAGCCGATCGCATCTCTAACTATATTCTCTTGTCTGAGATTTCCACGTTTCTGGAGGGACACGGAGGAACTCACGCTTTTCTCTGGCTGGAACACCCTCACGATCCTGTCTATCCCGACCGCAGCAAGTTTTCTCCCGTCTGCATTCCACGCAACATGGGTCATGGCCTGGGAAGACGTAATCCGCATGTCTCGAGGTCGAAATGCAGAGAACGTCGGAATCTACGAGTACCATTCCAGCCAACAAGAGCGTATTTCAGCGAAGGCCTCTTTCTCGGTTTAGAGGGGATCATACAAGAACTCCTCGTGCAGCAAAGGTTGTATGTGGAGGCGGGGAGGGCGGCTTCTCGAGCTGAGGAATCTCATCTTCGTCCTCTTTCCTGCCAGTCGCGGTTGACATAGTGTGGCTGCGATCAGGTTGTGGCGGAAGCCAAAGAAGGCAAATGTCGAGAACGTCCGGTCGACTGGGAGGTTCGCCCGCCGAACGCGTTCGCGAACGCGTTCGGCGAACTTATGGCTGCACGTGCAGAATTCACATGGGATGACGTAGCAGATCTGCGCATGGTGAGCTCTACCATTCGGATGACGTAGCAGATCTGTGGCTGGTAAGCTCTGCCATCAATCTGCCATGGTTAGGTTTCCCCGCGGGACAGAAACCTAACCCCTCCCGCTCGCTATGGACGACAGCGCCGCCAGGTTCAAGCGTGCTCATAATTAGCTTGCAATCAGCACTGTGGCGTGCATCATCTACGCAAGGGCCTTCTGGATTCGGGCCCATGCAACGGTTTTTTTTATTGTCTATTTCGCTCTTGTGGCCCATGCTATCTGTGTTCGCGTGGTCTACCGGCTTGCCAGGCTGTGAGTTGAGTATCCATGTACTATCTACAATCACAATTAGTTGCATTGGCCCTTGC